AAATCAACATTCGACGACTAGCACAGGCACACTAACACATAGACGCAATCAAAAGAAAGATAATTGAAAAGCATTCTCCCATATTGATTGAGTGGCAAACAAAATTGAATCGGGGAAAGAACGAGAAATGTGGATCTAAAAAGTGCAAGGCTAAAAAGACGGATGGGCACAGCAATAATGTTGGTCACAAAAGTTTGCCCTTGCTTAAACGTATATAATATGCATACAAATCATTCAGAGCACAAAGCATTTTATCAGTTTATCTAGTTGAGTCACGGTTGAATCGCTGCAAAAAAAAAAACTGATGAGGGCGCACAGCAAAGGCCCTCGCATTTCTATACTCTATCCGAGACATGTGTCATAACGGTTTCAATAAGACGATTGTGACGCACAAATGTATATACATACATATATAAAATAATTGCGGTAGTTAAGTTTTCATCTTAGAGATGAGATGAGTGCAATTGACTTTTGCTATTTCTTGAACACGAACCAAGCCAATGTTCCGAATCACGCGCAGTCGTTCCCCCATCTAAGAATATAGTTCCTGCATTGCTCGTGTCACGCGTCCCACTCTAACTTACTAATATTTAGGCTGAGGTCAATATAACTAAATGGTGCATTCTAGCTTGGCCTAATAGATATACATATGCAACTAATTGCGATTATTTGTGTAGAGCATCGGATGTTATTGATTTGTTGGCAACATTGCATTGTTTTGCCCCGTCCCCTGCTCATTCGCTCGCTCTCTCCCTCTCCCTTCTTGCTTTCGGATAGAGAAAAATCTTCTACGTAATAAGCGCAAAATCCGCAACTAACAATTCATATTGCTAATACATTTATTTTCTGTAGATTCATCGCTTACACATTCAAATCTCAAATCGCACTGACCTTTTTGCCCTCCATCTGTATAACATCATAATCAAGAAAGATTCCAAAGCTCAAATACGCATCATATACCTGCTGATATATACGGAAGCCATGGCTTGGATGGCCTTTGGAGCACTCGCCTCTGGCTTTGGTATTTGCTTCTTAATGTTCTATGTTTGATGTTCGTGATTGTTATGGTTGTTGGTGTTGTTTTTTCTTGCATTCTGTCCTTTTTACCAATTGTTGCGTCTTGAGTGCGGTGATACTGTAGTTTTATTATATATATTCATTTGATTACTTGAACTTACAGTGCTGCAGCGCCTGCTGGGCGGAGATACCCCGCCGAATAAAGTTCTGGAAATCAAGAGCGAATCGTTGGGCACCTTGCAGGTTATGGCGAGGGATGATGCAATGGTTCTGTTCGCACCGCCGTACAACAGCAGCGATAAGCGCGCCGTCTACGAGATTGTGCTGCAGCGACCCACCTCCGATTCAAACACCACTTCCTTCAGTCTCTACCGGTCGCCCGTACAGCAGGAAGCGGAAGAGAAGTTCAATACCTTTATGCAGCGTCTGCCTGTCTTTGTGGGCATTGTCAAAGAAGTATGTGATCTGCATGATGGCATTCGAATCAATCATATTAATTATTCCCCGGTTGCAGTATTACAATGTGAATGGATTGCAAAAGGTGTGCGATGCCCTCTCAGATAATCCGTCGTGGACGTTGGCCCATTTGGTTGCCTACTTCAATCTAGTTGAATATATCAGCAATCCCAAGGTGCTGCAGTGTATCGATGTGGCAGATCATACAACACTCATGTCGCCGTTTCAGCTGGCCATCAAACAGGGTCACATAGAAATGGTAAAGCTGCTTTTGCCCCTTAGCAAAATCGAGCACTTGGACATAAACAGCAATTCGGTGTTTCACTATGCCGCCAGCACTTCCAAAGAGATCATCAATGTGAGTGACAGTCAAAGACTTGGTTAGCTCTGCTCTCAACCGTTCAACTGTTCCGCTTTCATTGCAGCTGCTAACGGAGAACAGCACTGTAAATCTGAACCACCTTAATTCGGACGGTTGCACGCCGTTGCATTTGGCCTGCTTGACAGACAAGCCGGAGAATGTGAAGGCTCTGCTGCTCGCAGGCGCCGATGTCAACCTGAATGCCAAGAATATAAGCAAACTGTATAAGACATCGACACCCACATCGGTGGCCTCGTTCCTGCGCACCAACGCCAGCAAGCTCTACACCCAGGATATGAAATATGGCGGGACACCGTTGCACTGGTGCTCCTCGCGAGAAACTCTGCACGCCCTCATCATGGAGGGATGCGATGTGAATGCCACCAATTTCGATGGACGCACCGCACTGCATGTTATGGTGGCTCGCAATCGCTTCGAGTGCGTGGTCACGCTCCTGGCGCACGACGCAGACATCGATGTGCTGGACAATGAGGGAAATGCTGCTCTACACATAGCTATCGAGAAGAAACTAGTGCCCATTGTCCAATGTCTGGTGGTCTTCGGCTGTGACATCAATCTGAAGAACAAGGCGGGAAAGACGCCGCGTCACATGGTAGGCAACGATGCCAACGGCAGCAAGGAGGACGAAATATTATACATATTGCATTCGGTGGGTGCCAAGCGTTGCTCCGACTCGAATTCAAAGTGTCCGCCCGGCTGCAATCCCAAGGGCTCCTACAATGGCATACCGCCAGAGGCACCAGAATCCGTGGAGCAGAGAGAGCACATCGAAAATATGTTGGCAACAACCAGTCGACAAATGGTCAGCGGTTTTCTGGGCGCAGCAGCCAATGGAATCATTGAGAAACAGCAGCCCCCACAGTGAGTGGACAGAGCATACGATTTGATTACTTTTACTAATCATTCATACCTTCCATACAGAATGCCTGTCGTCGTTGATACGGAGAAGGAGCAAAAGGGTCAGAGTATCATGGACGCTCTCTTGGGCATGTTTACCACTAAAGTGAATGCAGATGAGAAGGAGAACTCGTCGAGTAGCATAGCTAGTGCTGCAGCCACGCCGCCATCGGGCATAGCTAGTCCAGAACAGCTGCCGTCGCCCACGTCTCCCATTGCTCCAGAAGTCGGCGATAAGCCATACGGACGTGGACGTCTGCTATGCTTGGATGGTGGTGGCATACGTGGCCTAGTGCTCGTGCAAATGCTACTAGAGGTGGAGAAGCTGTCGCGGACGCCCATCATACATATGTTCGATTGGATCGCCGGCACCAGCACTGGCGGCATATTGGCTTTGGGCCTGGGATGTGGTAAGACCATGCGGCAGTGCATGGGTCTCTACCTACGCATGAAGGAACAATGCTTTGTGGGCTCGCGTCCGTACAATAGCGAATACTTCGAGGCAATACTTAAGGATAATCTGGGCGAGTTTAATGTCATGACAGATATTAAGCATCCCAAGATTATGGTGACTGGAGTTATGGCAGATCGTAAGCCCGTCGATCTTCATCTCTTCCGCAACTACACCAGCGCCAGTGATATATTAGGCATTGTGACTTCCATAAGTAAGTACAATGAAATTAAATTAATCAGTTCAACTCGGATCTAACTCACGTTTAAATTGATGAACTTTGCCAGGCAATCGACGCATACCTCCGCCACAGCCTGAGGAACAGCTGGTGTGGCGTGCGGCTCGTGCAACTGGAGCAGCTCCATCCTATTTCCGAGCATTTGGACGCTTCCTGGACGGCGGACTTATCGCCAATAATCCAACATTGGATGCCATGACTGAAATCCATGAATATAACATGGCGCTGCGTAGTGTTGGACGCGACGCAGAAGCTGTACCCGTCTCAGTGGTTGTTTCGCTTGGCACGGGTCACATACCCGTCACGGAGCTAAAGGATATTGATGTATTCCGGCCTGAAAGTATCTGGGATACGGCTAAATTGGCTTACGGCATATCCACAATTGGTAATAGCAATAGGTTTTTCGTAGATTGAACAGTTTTTTAATTGATTGCCACCAACTTCCAGGTAATCTGCTTGTGGACCAAGCCACTTGCTCGGATGGACGGGTCGTTGATCGAGCCCGCGCCTGGTGCAGCACCATTGGCATACCTTACTTTAGGTTCAATCCACAGTTGAGCGAGGATATTGCCATGGACGAGAAGAACGATCAGAAACTTATCAATATGCTTTGGCACACCAAGGCGTACATGCACACCAATCGTAACAAAATCATTGAGATGATCAATTTCTTGAAATAGCGCGTAAGACGGATTTAGACCGCTACAATTGGCATTTAGCTTCAAAAGTTTACATTTTACCACAGCTGTGTATTGATCCAATTGATTTGTTTTATAAACTCTTCCCAGCACCCTCTCCCGCGGTCTAAATCACACTCCCACCCACACATACCCACAGAAACAACTAAACACACTACGCACACCACTCTTTTAACATACTGACCCAGTCGAAAATCCGTTGCCAGAAATTTATAAACAAATAAAATCCAAAAATAGGATTCCAAACAAGGCATAATTTAAACATTTGGAAATATTGTGTTATTGTTTAAGAAATCTAGAGATGTTGAACCTCGTGTCCAAAGTCTGTATTATTAATACACGTATTTATTGTATCTATGTACTTGATTTTTGCTAATTGAATTATATATTGTATATTTAAACATTCCGTGCCGCTTTGATAGTAATTTAAATAGATGAGCACGAATTTTGAATAAATGTTTTTGATGTAATATTATGGAAGTATTCTTCATAGTTTATGAATATGTTAACTTGAAGCAATTTTTCTTACATACACATGTATGTATAAGCATATGTACTTTCTTGGCCTATAAATTAGACAAGATTTTTTAAAGAAAAAATTTAATAAAAAATTGTATCAAGATTATTGTATTAAATACAAATCATTTAATAAAAAATGAGATTTATAAGTGTTTAAAAATAGGATTTTTTCTGTCCAATAATATATATGCAACAACAACAAAAATTATCTCTATTTAAATAATTAAATATAAAACAAGGAAATATTTTATCGGTTAACTGATGAAAAGAGCTTTTGTTGATTTGCGATATTCACAGAATCGTGCAGCGTTGCCACCTGGAGCGCAAGCGCTGTCAGTACCAATCACGATAAGTTGGCAGCACCTCGCACAAAATGTAAACAGGAAAAAAATCGAGAAAAATACAAACAATACAGACAAAAGTAAGAAGCGCGTGAAGAAACAGATAAAAAAATTTATGTGTGCATACGCGAAAGCTACGCAATAAATTTGTAAATAGAAACATACGCACGCACGCACGCATAGACAAGCGGCCATGTCCAATGACCGTGTGGACACAGGCAAAGAAGTGCCAGTGCCAGCGGCAGTAGCGATCGAACAAGAATCAGAGCTGCCCAGTATAATGTCCATGCCCACGATGCCCGTATCGAAGGGCATTATGATTACACCACCGCCACCAGTGATGCCACCAACGCCGACATCGTCGCCCAACACACACGGCGAGTGGCCCAATCTGAATCCAAATGCGAACACATTCCAGCTGAGCAGAGGTAGCAGAGGTGGTGGTGGAGTAGGAGGAGGAGGAGGAGGGGGAGGGGTCGCTGCAGGAGGGGAACGAGAACATTTTGCGCTACCCCATTTACCGCCATTGCCACTGAACGTTGACTATCTGCCGAGTTTGATACATCCGAGCACACTGCCATCGAGCAGCAAGAGCTTTAAGATGCGTCCGCGCATGAAGCGATTAATGTACTGCAGCTACAACAACATATTGACCGAGTCAAATAATCGCAAACTGCGCACCGCCGCCTCCACCTGCAATATTGAGCTGCTCAATCGGATTCTGGAGTCGGGCGGCAATCCAAATGCCGCAGATGAATTAAATCGTAGTCCACTGCATTTGGCTGCCTGCCGGGGCTATATACCCATTGTGCAACAGCTGTTGAAGTATGGAGCTAATCCGAATGTGGTCGACTCATTGGGCAATACACCGCTCCACCTGGCCGTTATTTCGGCCAGCTCAAATAACTTCAATGTGGTTGTGCGTATCCTGCTGCAGGGTGGCGCCAGCGTTCACATGTATGATCGAAGCGGTAAATCGCCGCTGGACCTGGCGGAGGCTAAATTGCGGCTGCTGCGCAATCGCTACGATCATCCCACACCGGAGACAGCAACGATCCTGGAAGATATGTGCATGTTGACCACGCTTATATTGCGCTACATGGTCAAGCAGCAGCAGGAGCTGGAGGATCTGTCGGCACTCGAGAAGCGCCTACAAAATCTGAGCACCAGCGATGACCAGGAGCAGGTCGTATCACAGACAGCGGACGAGCTGCTCGCGAGTGTCGAACGTCTGTCCATTAACAACAAATAGAAGAAAAAAAAACCAGGCTCAAATTGCAATGGGTAAGGGAAATAAATCAGCAATCAGAGCTGTTACTCCACAACCCATTTCTTTGTATTGAATGCTTTGTTTATGTCTGGATCAAGTATCGACCTCTATCAAACACAGCTAACTTCTTTATTTGAATTCTCCATCTATTCAATTGCAGTTTATTTTACGTTTCCTAATTTGGCTGCCGTTGAGTTGGAGTTGGATTTGTTTGACTAAACTCTGGATGCGCACTGGAGCTGGAGCATACAACCAACACTCACACACACAACACACACATTGTTTCATGCGATCTTTTTTATTAAGTATTTCATTTAAGTTTTCATTGTTTATGCAAAACAAACAAAACAAAATACACACCAGCAAACAAAATATGTTTACATTTTAAGCTTTACGTTTAGCGCGCCAAAACAAAATACAATTTATGTAATAGAGATGCAATCCACAACACCTAAAACAAAATCAAGCATTGCAATATATTAAATAAATGATTACAATAAAAGTAAAAAACAAAAATAAAAGCACTTCTTTAAATGTGCTAAAAACTTCTTTAAAAATAATAAACTAAACAGAGAAAAAGAAAAACAAATCAGAAACTAAGATTTATCATAAATTATTAAATGTGGATTATTTCCTCTTAATTTTAAGGCAGATTTGAGCGATCTACTAAGAGGCATATTGATTCAATATATAATGGCCTTGTATCTGTAAAGTGAAATAGTTAAGGAAGGGCGTTGTTATGTCGTCGCTTCGTAAGCTGTCCTAGAGAACTATACTATAAATGTAAATATGGATGTATCGATGTATAAATAATTACATATGTGTACACATACCAACACAAACATATATACATATATGTGTGTGTGCGTTACATGGTAAACATACTCCTTCGTAATAGAAGTGTATCGAAGTTATCGAACAGCTGTTCGGAGTGTCACCACTGCGAAGATTAAAGTGACCAGTCATCGAACTATATTTGTTACTGAATGCAGCTGAGCTTTTTGTCATTTGTCGAATGGCCAAAGTGAGTAAGTAAATATATTTACATCAGTAAATCGAGCATCGCTGCGGCAAGAGAGCAATTGTCTTTGAGATGTCTCTTACGACTTGAGCGTTGTATATTTCTTGCGCGCCTTACGAACTTTTTCAAAAACAAAAGATATTCAACTTGTTGAGCACAAACGGTAAATTAAAGCAATATTAAGAGAAGTACATACATACATATGTATGTGAGCTGACTCTTCTCGTAATTGCAAAAGGCGAACCATATCAAAGAATCAAATATGTACATATAAATTTTTTAAAGGAAAATGTGTACAATCATTTTATTTATCTTTCAGTCATTTAAATTTAAATATGTTTGCTAGCCAATCTTGGTGGGTTGTGCAGGCAGGCAAAGTGGACAATGCCTAGTTGTTCTTTGCAAAGTACTTTGTTTTCTCCTCCGGATTGGGTACAATCTGCGAACACATGTCAGTGAAATAAATAAAGCAACAATTACGTTATTTGCTATTGATTACCGTATCAGCGCCTGGTTTCCAGCCGGCTGGGCAGACCTCGCCATGTGTATCGGTGTACTGGAAGGCCTGTACGAGACGTATCGTCTCGTCCACAGATCGGCCAACAGGTAGATCGTTCATTGTGATTTGGCGTAAGACGCCGCGCTGGTCAATGATGAAGAGGCCGCGCAGCGTATGACCAACTTCTTCGAGATACACACCATAGTCCTTGCTTATCTTATGCGTCAAATCGGACAGAAGGGGAATCTTCACATTACCCAAGCCGCCCTCCTTGCGCGGCGTGTTTATCCATGCCAGATGTGTGAAGTGCGAGTCAACGCTTGCAGCAATCACTTCCGTATTGATTTTGCGGAATTCAGCGATGCGATCCGAAAAGGCGATTATTTCCGTGGGACAAACAAATGTGCTGCATATGATTAGAGTAGAGCTAGATGTACGAATAAAGGTTTATATTCAACTTACAAATCCAGTGGGTAGAAGAGTAGGACAACATATTTTCCCAGATACTGGGACAGCGAGAGCTGCACAATCTCTTTGTTGACCACAGCGGTGGCCTCGAACTGTGGCGCGGGCTTGGAAACTGTTGAGTATATGGAATTTAATCTGGTAAGAAGTACAAGCTTATGGCATCTTGTCACTTACTGACGGCCTTAGTGTACTGCAATTGATGATCACCCTTGGGCTCGCCAGCGGGATAAACTGAGCCACCAGCGAATGAGTAACAGGACTCATTATCATCGGCTTTCACAGATGTTGATGCCACTAAAAGCAGGATAGCCAAACAGCCGTAGGTAAACATATTGCCACTGAATACTGTCGATTAACTGAAAGGAGAGAAACTAATAACATTTACCGCAATTTGACACGCGATGCCTTCGGCTTTAGCTACACCCACTTGCAGACACGCACACACACCCACACAGAGCGAGAAACGCACACGCATACAAACGCACTTTACAGCCACGCAGTCAATTTTGTGGCTCCATAAGAAGCAACCACAACTGAATGAATGATTATCAATCGTGCAATTGAAAGGGGGTAGCGGCTTAACTAGTGATAAGCGCTATCAATTTTATTGAGTACACAATATATTTTGTAGTTTGTCTATCGAAATTTAAAATTGAAATGTAATTTAAATCACGAGTGGAAACAAAGCATATGTGATGCTTGGATATATATAACATATGGCATATTTTGTTTCCTTATTCGCTCATTTTTGATAAACGCCGATAATTTACACAGATGTTACCTTATATACATATATAAAATACAAATAACTTTAGCTTGAACTGTTGTTGGTTTTGCAAACAAAGCGCACGAGCAACACCGGCTAGAGATGCGTCGACTAAAAGATATCGCATGTTCCACGATATAATATAACACAAATAGTTCATATGAACCAATCCCAACGCACGATTCAGGTACGCGGTCTATTTAAATTTGGTAATCTTGGTAATTATTTTATTTAAAATATGAACATTAAAATAAACTTTAACTCTAGAAAACAAATTTATCACGTGCGCCGCTTTACAATTTCCATGTTGGCCAACTTGAGTATGCGATTGAAATCAACTTTGGTGTGGGCACGCCAATACTTGCAACGGCCCCACATGACGGCTGGGTAATTTGGACTAGAAATGCCATGGAACAGACGCGCTATATTGCGCCCACTGAACGTATTGTCGGGATACATGTTGATCAAAGCATGCACATCAGCTATAATATGATCATCCGGCACATTACTTGGCTAAAAGAATGGTCAAGAGTTGCAGATCTTTCTTTGAAAATCTTTTCTCTAGGAATTACCTCAATTTCTAGTTCCAAATCTTGTGGATAATCGTTGCGGAAGTAGTTGCGTACAATGCCCTTCAACTGGGCACAGCGATCCTGGGGAAAATCCACAGAGCAGCATTGTCCACACGAGCTGTAGGCTACGGCGGACAGCCCATGAGCCACGTACTGCAACTGGATGAGCTGAGTGCGCTCCTGCATAACCGATCGAGTGTATAACGTGTCGAGGGCATCGTCAATTTCTGCTTCTGTAAAATCACCCGGCGCCTTGATGCGAAAGCCCAGGTCAAAGAAATTTACTGAGATGGGCGAACGTTTTGGATATCCATTGACTAGTAAGTATAGAATATATGTTATACCAATATAATTTTCATAGAGTACGAGTTATTGCACACCCTGCATCCACTCCAGATTCTTGAGCTGATACTTGACCACTCCGCTGTTCCAGCCAATGCCGGCCGCAATGTCTACGACGGAGAATTCTATAATGTTTGCATCCTCCTTGAACGTTTTATTCTTAATCTGCAGCGCGATGGCCATAGCCAGGGGGGGACACTCTTTGGCGGCATGTCTGAACAGTAAGGGAGTATATTTAAATAGCTTACCCGAGTATTATGTATATTAACTTACTTCAGATATTTGGGGCCACCGTAGGATATCACTTTGGCCATGATGTACGCCGAGCTCAGCACATTCATGCACCAGCGTGGCTCGAGCTCCATGTAGCAGAGCAGCGTTGATATATTCTCGGCGGGTATGTCCAGCGCTTCGACTGTCTTCTCCACAGAGAAGCCAATCTCGTGCCCGGGACAGATGTGCACCCGTGTGCCTGCCTCAGTTGCAGCCTTAGGTTCCACAGAGCTCTTCTTCGAATCTAGCTGCTTATCGCAGCTGCAGGGCACAAAGATACGCTGCAGCAGCTTGCGTATGACATGGCGATCAATGGAATTGGCATACACATGTCGACGCAGCTCGTTCTGATCCCCGCCCTTGGGGTCCAAAAACAAATGGCAATGCGACAGCAGACCATCACGGCCAGCGCGTCCAATCTCCTGCACATAGCTCTCGAAATTTCGCGGCATATTATAATGGATAACAGCGCGAATATCGGGCTTGTTGATGCCCATGCCGAAGGCAATGGTGGCCACCACAATGCGCAGTTCGTTGCCCATGAAGGCGTTCTGCACGGTGCGGCGTCTAGAGGCGGGCATGCCCGCGTGATAAGGCTCCGCCTGCCAGTTCACCCGCTTTCGCTTCCTCTTCGTCTGGTCAGGTGCTTGATTTGATTTCTTGTCCTGCATGCATGTTCTAATGAAACCAGCGATTCGCTCGCATTCGTCACGCCGCGTGCAATAGATGATAATCGATTGACAGCTCTCGAATCTGCAGAGGGTATAGAAGGCAGTTTATAGTTTATAGTTTGGGTAAGACCGACGAATTTAGGGCTCGCCCACCTCTGGCTGTTCAGTAGCTGCAGCAGCGCCGCATCACGGTTCTCATCCTTGGACACGGAGAGTATTAGATTATCGGGCAGGGGTGTGTCGCTTATTATGCCCTGCTCCCCATCCGTGATGCCCAAATGTTCGATGATGCTGATGCGAGTAGGCAACGTCGCTGTGGCCGTCAGACCAAGCACCGTCTGCACGCCGAGATTCTTCTTGAGCACCTTGCATATCATTAGGTAGCTGGGACGAAAATTGTGACTCCACTGGGAGACACAATGCGCCTCATCGATGCAGGCAAATGCGATGGGCGGCAGCTGCCGCAAGATGGCACCGAAGCCCGTGGCACGCTCCCCCGAGACCACAGCCTCGGGCGAGACGAGAAGTATATCAATCTCGCCATCGGCAATGAGCTGCTGGATCTTGAGCCGCTGCTGTGGCGTTTGATTCGTGTGCAGGCAGTGGGCACGCAGAAAGTGCGGCACGCCCGTCACCTGGTCCTCCATGAGCGACACCAGCGGAGAGATGACCAACGTAATGGCTCCAAGGCGGCGACTGTATAGGTAGGCGGGCAGCTGATAGCACAGGGACTTGCCGCTGCCCGTGCTGAGGGTGACCAGCGTAGACATGCCGCTGAGTATGCGCATCACAGCACGATCCTGACCTGCAATATGGCACTTATATATTAATGAATCTAATGAGTGGATATAGCTTACCCTTGCGGAAGCTGCTGTGCCCAAACATGTGCAGCGCCTCGATGACCTCGTCTGTCGGGTCCTGCAAAGTGCCATCCTCCTTGAGCCCGTAGAGGGGCTGCACCCCGCCATGCTGAGTTCGCGCTGGTCCCCCTCCAGTCGACGAGCTGGCATCCAGGCCGGCTTCCTTAAGAAACTGCTCGGGTATCTTATGGCCCACATAGCTCTTAATGGGCGATTCAACTTTCTGTGCTTGTGCTGCATCAACAGCGGCATCCAAGGCCTCGAAATCAATGTCCTCCTCATCACTGGACATGTTCAGCTGCGCAGAGGGATTCTCGCCAGGCTCAGCCTTCTCCTCCTCATCACTGCTGCTGCTGCTGCTGTTGGAGTCAGCCTGCTGATAAATGACTTTTGTGTTGGCTGCCTGTGGCAGGCGCTCAATGTTGCGACTATGCGCCGCTAGGGCGCCCTGTGTAGCCATAATCTCGACCTCAGCCAGCGTGGGGAATGGCGACGGGTCCTCCTCCAGCTGCGCGCTCAGCGGCAACAGCGTATCGCCCTTGATCTTGCACTGCTGCGCGAAATGACCCACTTGGCCGCAATTGAAACAGGTCAAAACACCGCCATCGCAGCCACCCATGTCCATGTCGGGGCCGGCCAGGGCAGCCACTCGCTTCTTATGCTTCCACTGCTGTTTCTTGTACTTGCTGAAGTTGACAGTCTTTTTGCCACGCGAGAACTTCTTTTTCTGTATGTTGATCGTCACAAAGTTCTCATTTAGCTTGCCCGCCGCAATCCTCGCCTCCAGCTTCAAACGTGCTGCTGCTCGTTTCTCGTTCAGAGAGGCAGACGCAGAGGAGGACGAGGCGGCACCAGCTTCCCCTGTGGGCAGGCCACTGGCAAAGTTGCTAATGTACCGCTGAACTGTTTTGTCAGCTTTCTCTAGCTCGTCGAGCTTGATCCGTGGCACGCAGGTTATATCGCCCGACTCGAGCGCTAGCACATATTTGAGATCTTTGGGATTCAATGGCTGCTCCTGCAGCTCCTCCTCAGCCTGGTCGGCATCGGCAGCTGCAGCTCTCTTCGCTCTCGACTTGGACTTGGGCTTTGCCTTCTCCACTTTTGGTTTGTCAGTCTTTTCCGCCTTCGGTTTGACTGCCTTCGTACCCTTGGGCTTGTCTGCCTTCTCCACTTTGGGTTTCTTTTCAGCCTTCGGTTTCTGCCTTTTGGCCGTGGCCTGCTTGCGCTTGGACTTGGGCAGCTCTGGTTCGTAGTTGGCGTCGCCGTCCTCGTCCGCTGAAAAATCTTTATCCTCGTTGCATTCATCATTTGTGTCCGCATCGTTTGGATGATTCACTTCAGGCACCGTTCCTGGCGATTCGCTTGTGGGCATAATGCGGCGACGTTTGGCTATGTGCCTGTACTCCGGCTGCTCCGTTTCCTCTTCGCTGTCGGCCACAACAGAATCGGAATTGGAGTCCAGGTCTTCTTCCACTGCAGCTTCAATTGGAACCTGAGCTGGAACTTCAATTGGAGCTTGAATACGAGCTTGCATAGGATCTGGAGCTGGAGCTATAGGCGATTCCGGCACACTTTTAGGTACATCCACTGGCTTCGACTCGTCTAGAGGCGTTGGCAATGGGGAGTCACTTCCCCTCAGCTTGCTTAAATCTAAATTAGACAAGCCATAATTGGTTCTCCTAGCTGGAGTCGCGTTGTTGTTGGGCTCTTTGGCCGGCAGTTTCCTTGGCTGCTCCAGCGAATTTTCAGCCGTGTTGCGTTGCAGCCAACCTTCGTCGACTTGCGTTTTGATGGGCTCCTTTGCTGGTCCCTTGTGATCGGTAAGCAGCAGAGCGTTGGCTGCAATTACCTCTGCCTTGTGCTCCTGCGCCTTGCGTATGAGTATGGTCTCTAGATCAGGCAACTGCTCTTCTTGCTCTCCAGCTTCACCAGCCATCGACCCAGTGGCACTCACATTGAGAGCGCCGCGGGAGAGCGGCTTGCGAGGATTACGCTTGGCAAAGCTGCGCGAGGATTGGAATAGTTTGCTGCTAACACTCGGCTTCACGCAGGGCGTTCTCGGCTTGGCTGACTCGGTTGGCGAAGTCACCACTGCCACCACTGGCTGCTGCTTGCTTACATTTTCGCCCCAGGCGCTCACGTTCTGGGCCAGCTCTTCGACAGCCTCAAATTTGCGTATTACATGATTCTCGTCACGATTCATAAGATTCGTCAGAGCCTGCGGTGTGGGCAGCTCCTTGATGTTTGAGAAGGCGTTCTCCTTGCTTTGCTGCATCAGCGCTGTTATGTCCATCGGCAGCTGGGGTCCGCCATTGACACTCTCCGTTTCGGGGCTCTGGTCCATTAAAGTGATGCCCAGATCCTCGGACTGCGTCATTTCCAGCACATCGAATCCGTCCTCGCAGAGCACATCGTTCAACGTCTCCTCAAGGAACGAGGTCTTCAGTTTGTAGTACATCTTGTAGGAGTCGCGTATCTCTTGACTGGCCTCTCTTATGTCGTACTATAGGAAATTTAGTTTTCATTTCAGTACCACAGAGCATTCAATTAACTCTCTCTCTCACCTTCGAGGGCACACGACCGTGCTTCTTCTTGAAATCTTTTTCCCATAGTTTGACACGCAGCTTGTACTTTTGATATTTATCTTTATAAATTGATTCGTCCATTGGTTTTAATTTGATTGATTACATTTAAACACAGCTAAGCAAAATTATATAGAGCAATGCACACACGCATAACACACCTGTTTTTCTGCTGAGCGCGCGCTTTTCTGCATGTGCTGCCAGACTGCTAAAATGCCATAGTGTTAAATGCGATACGCGCCAAAATTTGAACTTGCTACAATGTAAATATCTTTAGTATACCCTATGAATATTTAGTTGTGTACTTATTCATTTTATTGATTTTAAAATCGTATTCAAGCTTACCAGTTGAGATTTTCGTTCCATTGCGCCATTTGTATCCATCCTCGCAGAGGAAAGAATGAGTTTTTCAGTTTGAAGTATTCAGTTGATTTATTTATTTTTTAAATAGTTTCAAGCTTTGCAATTGCAATTCAAAAATGCATTCCATGTGACACTTGGAAAATCAAAAATTTCGTTAAACGAGGAATTACAAGATACAAGATATCAGAGAATTAGTGCACTAAATTTTGCGTAAATACTTAATTCAATTAAGTTAAACCCTTAAAAATGTGTGGCGGGGTGGGGACATAATAGGCTTGCGCGTAAATAAACATGAATACGGCGAGAATGTCAACAAGTTTTGTCTCGTTTTTTTTGTGTGTTTTGAATCATTTTCCATTTTCCTTTTCCTTCTTTGTTAACGTGCATCATCTGTTGCGGTTCCTCAACTCATCGTTCACCTACATTCCTACATGAGTATCAAGGCAATGTCCTCGGGCTGCATGGCTGGACAGCGCCAGTTGTACAAATAGTACTGCAAGTTGCCATCGCCGGCACCAAACTTAAGCGGCACAAAGAACTTCTTATTCTCCATCAGATCGAGAGCGTTGTAGACATCCATTTGGACGTTACGCGCTGAGATCAGGGCATCGTTCATTAGTTCCAGCCAAGGCGTCTTCGTGGACACATTGTAGAATGAGTACGCGGCGCGCACGGTCTTGTGCACGGCATGATGCATCACGGACGAGGGCAGACAGTAGTAGCTGGTCATATCGGTAATGTTGCCCTTCTCATCGGCAACCACAAAGCAATCGACTATGCCCTCTTTGGGCGTGAACCAATGACGAAACTCCTCCTTGGTGAACACTGGGCACAAGGAGAAACGCTTCAGATACTCCTCCAGCAGTTTGTGGGCCTTGTCCATATCCTTGGACGTGATGCGGCGATAGCCCTTTGTCTTGGGCTGGTCAGGCAGTTTGTACAGCTTCACAGTGCGTTGCATGGTCATGTTGCGAGCCAAATGGGAGAAACGCACATCCACCAGCTTCTTAGGGTTCAACGATCGATGCCAATAGCGACAAGTGGCCACTGGTGTTGGCAGTACCACGCCCGCAGTGTATGCAGCCTGAAAGATTCCGCACAGATTGACGCGACGTGTGATCTCGCGTATCAGCACGGGGGCAACGCGCTTGCTGCGCAACTTCTTGTGTACACAGAGGAAATTGATGTCCACCACTTTCAGCACCTTGTCGTACGAGCGCAGCTTACTTGGTATGGCCGAAATAAAGGCCACTAGCTTTCCCGACTTCTCGACCCGCACGCCCACATGCCAGTCACGCTTCCAGCCAGGCGGCTGCAGAGACCACTTCAAGAACTCTGGCTGATAGTCGAAACGGAACATGGCATCATCGTCCTCTACATAGTTCTCGTTGAGCAGCGTATAGAGCTCCTTATTGTCGTTGGGATCGTTTACATCGATTGTCACCCATTTGAAACCGCTGGGCAAGGTGTACGGCTCGGCCCGTATCTCAGAAATCTCTTTGTTTGGCTCGATGCACTCATTTGAGGTCACCAGTTCGTTTAGCTTTGGCACCGGTTGCGTTGACCAGAATGTAAATTGCTTCGACTGTGGCCGTGAGAAGCTCACTGCATCATTGACTGCCTGCAGCAGTGCTTGTTTACCTAAAATGGAAAATATTATTAAATACTCCGTATATTGATCTTCCTATTCAGCGTGGTCCAAGCCGTGGTTCATGCACACACACAAACACAATCTCAGTATATTCCTGGTCGGACCTAACCTCACATTGTGTGCCGCATATTCCAATTGCATTTCCGTGCACTGTTTTACTTACTAGAGTCTAACGATACATATGCCCCATTTTTGGCCAGCGTTGAACGTTCTGGTGCTGCTGCTTCTGCTGCTTCCGACTCGTTCTCCTTGGCCTCATTGGCTTCGTTTGCCGTCGACTGTGGCTCCTTTACTTTTAAGCCGGCAACGGCGCCTGCTAGCATTTGCGCCGATGCGTTTGCCAATTCTTTAGTCTTCTGCCTTAGTTCATGCTCACTGTTATCATCTGGGCTGGCTGCGGGCGCATTATCTTTCGGCATTGCTCTGTTGCACTTGAGGATTTGTAACTATTTTATTAATATATACTGACAAAAAAATAATTGCAATGAAATCGCAAGACTATTAGCAGCTGACTCACTAACGCAGCTGCCAGATCTCGCACAGAAAATGTACAACAACTATATAATATTTAATGGCCACCCTAATTTACAGTTTGTCAGCAATCGATTTTCATTCTCATTTAAAATATGTGTGCGTATAAACTAAAAAGAAAATGGGTGTGAACTGTACATATAAATAAAATTTGTACAAATATTGACAGCAACGCTTACCAGTTAAATTCAAGTAATTAACAGAAAATTGAATATGAGAGTTGAGTACTGTCTATCGATAGTTGTCGATACTGTCGCCTCAGATATAAAACGTTGACGTTGAATTCAAATTTCAGCTTTAATTGCTGAAGCATATTTTTGTAAACACGCTTAAAGAATTCACATACTAATGTAAACTATATTAGAATCAAATAGAACACCCGATGCTAGTCAATTTATTGGATATTTAATACCACCAACAACACGGGCTAAACAGCACAAAAACAGCTGATCGCAACTCGATGCGAACTAAAATTGCATCGCTGAATGGTGGGTAAACAAAACTACAGAGAACATAAATAAACATGCACAGTTGCTGATAAGAGCAAATAGCGCACGCGAACAGCGACCGCGTCTCAATTCTAGCAACGTCAGCTATAGTTGTCGTACACAGAATGAGTCTGACAAAGAAGCGGATTAAAATTGTTTCGGGCAGCTCAATAATTGGCCTGGCCCTCATCTATTTGTACAAATTTGCGATTGCTCCCGCCACTAGCGTGCCAAGAGCTAGTTCCGCTGCCCACGGGCTCGAGGAGCAACGACAGTGGCCACCCACCGAGGATGCTGTTCAGCGCAATCTTCAAATCGCCTACGATGCTCAAAACGCGCTTCTGCATCAGCAGCGGCAGGAGCTGCTGCACACCAGGGAGCAGCTGGCCCAGCTCGAAGAACAGGTGCGCTCCCTGCAGGCCAGCACGCCACGAAAATATCCAAAGGTCAAGTATCTCAACTATAAGAATCGGAAGCGCATTTTGATCACGGGTGGCGCCGGCTTTGTGGGCTCCCATCTAGTCGACGACCTTATGATCCAGGGACATGAGGTTATTGTGGTGGACAACTTTTTTACGGGGCGTAAGCGCAACGTGGAGCATTGGTTGGGTCACGAGAACTTTGAGCTCATCCACCATGACATTGTGAATCCGCTGTTCATCGAGATCGACGAGATCTATCATCTGGCGTCGCCCGCATCGCCGCCCCACTATATGTACAATCCGGTGAAGACAATAAAGACAAATACCATGGGCACCATCAATGTCCTGGGCCTGGCCAAGCGGGTCATGGCTAAGGTACTGATTGCCAGCACCTCGGAGGTCTACGGAGATCCCACAGTGCATCCGCAACCGGAGACCTATTGGGGTCATGTGAATCCTATAGGTCCACGCGCCTGCTACGACGAGGGCAAGCGCGTCTCCGAGACACTCAGCTATGCCTATGCGAAGCAGGTGAGTTCTGATGTCATTGATCTACCTGGTGTATATTCCACTTGGGCTATGAGCGGAATGTGACTTATAAGGAAAGCCTAATTAAGCCAGTTGGAATTAGATAGCGTGGGGAGCGGATAGAAGAAGCATAAAATATTCTCCCTATATGTATCTGCATTGATTTTTAATGCACATATATACGTATGTATATGTATGTATATTTCTATAGCTAAGCGACTACCGCTGGCGTCATTCGATTATCTGATTGGTATCAATCCAATTGGAATGTGCAGCGATGCATTAAATTAATTTGTTTGAGTTGAAGATAAACAAATCAAGCATATCGAGAGACTTAACTAGTTTAAGCGTGCCTTATCGATACGATATACTTATATATCAGGTTGCCACGATGCGAGGGTGGCTTCTAAAGATTCCGTCCAACTGCAATGTTTGCTGCCGGAAAAACATTCCGAAACTGACCTTCAGTCAGAGACAATGCCTCGGAGTTCCGGATGCCAGCACTTGAGTTATGTAGCGATAAAGCAGAACTGACAACATAGGGAATATTACGTGTTTACTGATTTGTCCGATGGGAGTTAATGGTAACGCCTGCTCCATTTGCTTTTAGGAGAAGGTGCAAGTGCGCGTGGCGCGCATCTTCAACACATACGGGCCGCGGATGCATATGAACGACGGCCGCGTCGTGTCGAACTTCATACTGCAGGCGCTGCGCAATGAGACGATCACGGTCTATGGCAACGGGAAGCAGACGCGATCATTTCAATACGTCTCGGATCTGGTGGATGGCCTGATTGCACTGATGGCTTCCAATTACACGCAGCCCGTGAATCTGGGCAATCCCGTGGAGCAGACGATTGGCGAGTTCGCCGATATTATCAAGCATCTGGTGGGCGGACAGAGCGAGGTGAAGCAGATCAAGGCCATGGAGGACGATCCGCAGCGCCGCAAGCCGGACATCACGCGCGCCAAGAAGCGCCTCAACTGGGAGCCCAAGGTGCCCCTGGAGTCGGGCCTGCTGAAGACCATATCATACTTCCGCAACGAGCTCGCGCGCAGCGACCGCTTCCAGGAGAGCTCCCGCAAGTACTTTGACTCGCCCGATCTGCAGCGCATTCGGCCCTAGATCAAACTCCACGGCCAACATCAATAATATGTGCCTCTCAATTATTGTAATTGGAACACACACACACACACGTCTCTAGTCTGCAACAAACGTAAAGATGACCAACGATAGCGCTAATCTTATGGCTTCCCAATCCCGCTGCTCTCAGTCACCATGGCCCCGCTTATTCAGTTAAGGCCCCAACTATATTTAAGTCACAACACAGGGTGTTCTCGGCCTGCAGCCAACTAAGGTTCCAGCTATCAGCGTGTTGATAGTCCCCATCTAGTTTTCATGTTACAGTTAGTTCAAGTTCTTTTTGGTGGCAGTCTCCGAGTGTGCAATACCCGGGAATACCCTGCACTCCAAGGACAATGTCGTACAGCTTCTATATTGTCTTTGTCTAAGCTAAATTGAATTCTATTGTATGTGTTAAGTCTGCCTTCTGCCTGCCCCTGCAGTTGCCCCAGTTTAGTCACACACTTGTTTAGACTGTATCTGTTAAGTAAACGTACGCTAGTCCGACTAACTCAGCTGAGCTCATATTAGCTCAACCGTCCGATCTGCTTTGAAGCAGCTGCATTTCATTTATCATCCCTCATATCATTCATCATATAGCCTCAATTGCTCCTCATTATATCTTGATTGTACAGATACTGACTCTACGCAAGTTATGTCCACCTGCAAGGGCATTTCGACTTCGGCCTGGGCCGCAGCCAACACTTATTCTGTTGTACAATATATTAGTAGAGTAGTTGGTAGTTGATTAAATGTGGTTCTTTAAGTTTTCGAATACGAATTACTCTTTACTCTGTTTACTCTATGCATTAGCCACGTACACAGACAAACTATATACACTATCTATGAGCTACACCTTTCTTGAATGCTTAAAAACTGTAGTTTAGTCACTAAATTAGCTTATATCGATATTTGCACCTGAACTTAAAAGCTAAATCGACTGGCAATTTGCTGCTGCTGCTGCTGCTGCTGCTGCTTCTACTGCTACCGGAGCTGGAGCTGGAGCTGAGGCTGACTTTCACCTGGCCAGTGGTTCGAGCATCTCGAGGAACAGCTTCTTCATGTTGATGTGCTCGTCGCGTGCCACGCCCCGCCAGAAGCGACGCAGTATATCATCCGCCTGCCGCAGCGACGGCAGCAGCAGGAGCAGCTGCTGCTGGTGCGAGACGGCCGAGGAGTGGCGCAGCAGGTAGACCACGTCGTTGAGCGAGTTGAGGATGGTGTCGCGGAAGGCGCGCAACGAGCTCTGATCGTCCAGCAGTATATCACAGTTGGACAGCAGCAACGCCTTCAGCAGATAGTACTCCTCGCGCCGTGGCGAAATGCGCTCCATGCGCTGCGCTATTTGAACGCAGTGGTAGTAGAACTCCGTATAGCCGCACTCCTTGGCCAGCAGCTCGTCCATCCAGACGTCGGTGGCGAAGCACAGTTTGCCATTGAACGGCAGCGAGCGGAAGGTTGTCTGCAGCGTCAGAATCTCTGCCCACGAGACCTGCAGCAGCTTCATCTGATCATTCAATGGTAGGTCCAGGAAGCCTGGAATCTGCTTGGCCCAGCCAATGACGCTGACCAGCTCCTTGTCGTAGAGATCGCTAAGTACACCAAGTATCTCGTTCGGATCGTTGTTGTTGTTCTGAAAAATGCAAGTGCCATTCGAGGTGCCGTTGCTGCCCTCCAGCTTCACGCTGCCAGAGGACGAAGAGGCCTCATCAGTCAAGCTGGTCGTGTGGGGCTGCTGTGACTGTTGCTGTTGCTGTTGCTGCTGTGCCTGCACACTGAGCGCATCGGGCTCATAGCTGTTGAGCACGTCCAGTATCTTGACGTCGCCCAGCGATGTGGTGTTGGACTGGTAAAGCAGTTGCATGGTCTGGTACGAGTTCGACACCGGATTGCGTCTATATTTCTGACGACCGCCACGCACGCGATCCAAGCGCACGCCCTCCTGGAATGTGGAAGATTGTTGTACAATGAGACAGACAAAAAGATGAGAGAGAGCTTGCCTTGAGCATGCCCATGAGCAGGCACTTTTGGAAGCGACACGCCTGGCAGGCCTTGCGCCGTCTCTTGTTGATCTCGCATTCGTTGTTCGCCGGGCAGGTGTATTCTATGTTGCCCTGGATGGTGCGCTTGAAGAAGGCCTTGCAGGCTTCGCAGCTGGCCACGCCGTAGTGATAGCCCGATGCCACATCGCCGCAGACAAGGCAGAGGCGACGAATCTCGTCGCGCACCGAGCCGCTGCCCCCATTGCCACTCGAGTTTTGGGCGCCGCTGCTGCCGCTGTTGGCTCCGCTTCCTTTGTTGCTGTCGCCATCGTTGCTCAGCGAGACGTTGTGCAGGTCGCAGGACAAGGATGTGGTCGAGCTGCAGAGCTGGCGCTCTGGGGACACGGATGGCGAGGACTTCATGCCGCTGTTGCTGTTGCTGGAATTGTTGTGGGCGGTGGTTGCCTTGGAGCTAGGACTGCAGCACGAATTGCTGGCGCCGCCAGCCGATGATGTGTCCACCTCCTGTTTGATGTGAAGCACACTAACCCCGTCGGACATATTCGAGCGCGAAAGTTGAGCTGCAAGCGAAACAGAATAAGCGTTCAGCTATCAGGGGACATTCCAATTCACGCATACGACTTTTGATTCTTGCTGATTGGATTTTAAATGTCAAAAGTACATGGGCGACGTCGCTGCATGATAAAAAAAAGTGACAGCGCGGCTAATTATTAATGAACGTGAATAAGAGCGACGTGAAACAACAAAATAAATAAAGCATGCACACATACACATACACAGGCAGAGACACAGCCAACAAATGCAATTCGAATTGTGGAATCCACTCAGAATGCAGTTAGAATTACCCTCTCTGTTCATGTGCGTGTGTGTGTGTGTGTAAGCTTTACATGCTCGCACTCACAAAAACTAGCCCGTGCGCTGCCCCTTTCACGCGTCCAATTGGATGATGATGACAGCGACGCTCAGCGCGGTGGAAAAGTACAATGTCGCGATAACGGTACTATGCGTATGAGTGTTTACACTTGGCAAATAATTAACGGTTACGCTACTCTGTAAATCACGACTGGAGGGCCTGATTTAAAATGAAAATACAAAATGGCCAAAGAATCTAGCTATAAAGCTAAACGCCGAGAGATGCACGTTTTTAGTGCGCGTTCTCATTTCATTTCTTATCACAATCCAGGTGGGTGTGTGTTTGTTGATAATAGGTGTGTAGCCACTGTCTCTATATACTTACATAAAGATTTGTTGAAGATCTTGATAGTTGTAACTATAATCAGTGAACGTGCTTGTTCAACACAGTTTATTGTATTCCAATGGTCCAATCAGAATCCAGTCAACACATTTTGATACATAACATATATACACTCTCGCACACATGCATACATACTCATTCATATGCATTTATTTTGGTTCGAGCACTTTGTTATGGCTTTTGTTGTCTGCGTGCGTCTGCATCTTTTTGTGAATTGCCCATTCAGCAAAATTTGTGTTTGGCAATGGTTCTTGATTTAGCTGAACAATATCCTGTATTTCTTGTCTTACGTTTATAACTATTATGCATATTGCATTTTTTTTTACTTTTTCAACTATGTTAACTGGCAGCTGCTGCTTTCGCATCGGTATAAACGCGGTGACTTGCTATCATGCATACAAGCACAATTTGAATTGGGCAGCCACTGTGGTTATTGGTTTATCATTTTTATCTGTTTACGCTAAATATTTACAGAACTTTAACACAGTAAAATAAATATATGTATATATATATATATATATATATATATATATATAAAGTCCAATGTCACTATCGATAAGCAGCGACAATAAATATCGCACGACAATTATCGCAATGCTGTATCGCGCATATCGATGGTATATGACGATACTTTGGATCTCCAGATATCGCATGCAAATTGGCCCCATCCCTAGTGCAAAACATAGCAAAAACAATTGCGCGATAGAAATTACTTTAGAAATACAAATAAATAGCCAGATTTTACTATAGAACCATTGTATAGTGTTATTGCACACGTTGTCCAAAGTTTTGCCCGCGCATCAAAGGTGTTTTTGTCGAAAAGTAAGTACATGCTAGGCGATACGTGTTCATTTCGTTTGTTGTTGTTGGTTTGGGGTTTTATCAGAGCTCAACCCAAAATACATCATTCCATATGTATGTTTGCTTTGTTAGTTCGCTTATGTCTAATACGCAATCAAAATATGCTGGCCCAGCCCCTGAACTGTTGCATATTTTAAAGTTATTTCACGTCTCAACGGCAATAGCTGAATCAAAGCTATAAATGCTTTGTTTTGCTCCAACATACCCTGAAGACAATGAAAAATAGGGTATACAAATTTGTGCGTATATTTGTAACAGTGTATCGAATATATATAGTAATTGCTAGGTCAGTAAGAATCCACGAGTTGATTTTGGGAATGACGCATGTGCTAGACGCGTATTCCTCTTGTCTATGACTGTGGAAATGTGTGCATAGAGAGGGTATTTGGGAATAGGAAATTAACATTATATGGTGTCAGCAAGGTATGCTAAATATTTTTACCATTGCAGCCCAAAGAACAGCGAAGCAGTCACAATGATGAGCCTGCTAGGGCGACCCGATGTGGATGCGGGTGAGGTGTTTGTCAATTTCAATCAAAACATAACGTGAGTGTGTGAAAATATGATTAAATGTAAGCTATTAAATAATGTTCTCGCTTAGTTCGCTGGCCGTGGCGACCAGCGGTAGCTACAGCCTGTATAGCCTGAGCTCTGTAGACTCCACGCTGGACAAAATCTATAACACAAAAAGCGATGATCTATTCCTGATCGAGCGACTCTTCGAGAGCTCTCTGGTTGCCATTGTGTCGCAGCGAGCGCCGCGCAAATTGAAAGTTTGCCATTTCAAGAAGGAGAGCGAAATTTGCAATTACTCTTACTCGAATACAATTTTGGCTGTGAAGCTAAATCGGGAACGCTTGGTTGTCTGCTTGGAGGAGTCGCTCTACATCCACAACATACAGGATATGAAGGTGGTGCACACCATACGCGATACGCCCTGCAATCAGCTTGGCTTGTGTGCACTCTCCTCCTCGTCGGAGCACTGCTACCTGGCCTACCCGGGCAGCGTGACAAGTGGCGAGGTGCAGATCTTCGATGCCATCAACTTGCACGCCAAGACTATGATACCCGCCCATGACACACCATTGGCGGCCATTGCTTTTAGTCCGTCGGGCACAGAGATAGCGACGGCCAGCGAGCGCGGCACTGTGATTCGTGTGTTCAGTTCCCAGGATGGCAGCCGCTTGTTCGAGCTGCGACGCGGCCTCAAACGTTGCGTCTCGATTGTCTCGCTCTCATTCAGCACTTGTGCTGAGTACTTGGTCTCCAGCTCGAACACGGAGACGGTGCACATATTCCGCTTGGATCGCAGCGCTGCCGAAAACAGCGATCATGGCAAACAGTCGAGCGACGATTGGATGGGGTAAGTTGAAGAGCTGTGGAGTGCGAGGCTCAATAGTCAGCTTTTGTTGTCTGTTTATTTTGGTGACGGTGTATATAGACATGCACATACAACATATATATACACAGACTCTCACTATCTTTCACCCATACAAAAATTTTGTGTACAGTGAAAACATAGACAAAGAATAGCCCACATATATAGTCAGTCTGCTTATTTATTATTTGCTTGATCAAGTTGTAATCCTATATTAATTAAAATCTGTTAGATGTCAGGTTAATATCATTTTGTTAGATTTGTCCTTGAGCTCTTGTTTAATTTAGAGACGTACGCTGTGTCAATCCCTAGGTTGTTTATCTTCTCTTTTCTTTTGTTACTTTGTGTGTGGCACTTGACATTTATCTATTTTTCTTTTCTTTCATTTCTTCAATCAACCACCCACAAACCACAACCACAACCACAACCACCACCACAACTACCACTCATCAAATCTATTCTCTCATGCAAAGTTACTCGTTTTTTAGATTCTTGAGCAAAACGGTGACCAGCTACTTGCCCACGCAGGTGACCGACGTGTTTAGCCAGGGACGCGCTTTCGCGTCGGTCACGCTGCCAGAGGCGGGTGTGCGACGCATGTGCGCCATAACCACGATACAGAAGCAGCTAAGGTGGGTCCTACACTCAACACTATTTGTATATCCGAGCTCAATTATAATTATTATCGTATTCTTTTGCAGACTCTTGATTGCCTCGCAGGATGGCTATTTGTACGTCTATTCCATACCCTCGGTTGAGGGCGCAGAGTGCCAGTTGCTGAAGCGTCACGATTTGCGCTTGGACGACAGCTATGCCATGGATGTTAAAGGTGCTTTATAATTCCATTTGAATGACACAGACAAAATCAGACACACACACATCCATTTGCAATGTCAAAACAAATTATTTAGTTGATTCACATCATACTTCAGGTCTAAACAGTAATGTTAGCATTGGCGGTGCGGCCGGTGTCCCAAATGCTGCTGCCGCTACTGCAGCGGCTGCTGGGGATGGCAAAGCCAATGAGAAACCAGGCAGCTCGTCGAGCGGCGGGGGCAACGCAGGTGCCAGCTATGCCTCGGCCGTAAAGGGCGATGAACCGGCTGGTGGCTCATCCTCCTCCACTTAGGTGCAATTGAACTCACGCAACAACAACCACAACTGATAAGAGAACATGATAAAAACAAAAACAAAAGAACAGAAGAAAACGAACTCACTCCTCAAAGTACTAAGGACGATGATGATAAAGTGATTGGATTTGGGTCATGCAGCTGGCGACGACATGTGGGAGACGGTAGCTCGCTCCATGACGTCAAATAAAAATAAGTAAATAAATGAATAGGTCTTAGACTTAGCTTTTAAATGTAATCAATTGACGATTCTTCCTCGGTTAATAAGTAAAAAGTTAAATTGAGTAACGCCCCATTTCTCAAAGCAATTTTTGTTAGTTTTTAAGTTTACTGTTCATGGCGCTGCCATTGATAGGAAAAGAAATGCTTTTGTCATACAATCTTAAGTTAGCTGTTATATTTTTCAATATTTTTTAATACACACTTACTTTCAATTGAAATTTCTTACTAAATAAATTGCCTTTGTAAATTTTTGTGCACATACTCTTTATTTGAACCTTTGACAATCCACCGAGAGCTCATATTCTAATTTATAATTTTTGCTTTAGTAACTTTGCAATACTCAGCATTAGCATATTTATCGTTTGTTATATTGCCAATGCAACTAATAATATTATAATTATATCAAAATAATCAAGTAACAAGATAATGAGTGAAAACATCAAATTTGAAGTGTGTGTGCAAAGGAGGAACAATTTTCGGCATATATAGTAAATATATATATACATATATTTTGTACAAAGTCAAACATTTTAGAACATAATATTTAAAGCGGTTTACAAAAATCATGCGCTACTTTATTGTATTCAATAAATTACATATTTGATTTACTACAGGTCTCTTTTGAATTTAGCGGGCACTCACAGACATAATTTAAGTGCTGGGTAATTTTGATTTGCAGCACCACATAATCGAAAAGCTATCGAATGTTGTACCAAAAATTACTAATATTGTACCATTGTGTTTCCCATTCCCTTGAAAAGCTGCTTTCTGTGTGTCTAGCTTATAAATTGCAATGATACAAAAATGTATAAATAAAAAAGAATTTAATCATAAAAGGTAGTATTAATTTGTAAAATATCAGCATCAGATACATTATTATAGCAAAAATATGCACAACGATATACATATGTAAACATATCGATATATCTCATCATCCCTAACGCGAAATTGCACCCAGCTTGGGTGAAAGATATAAACAGTGCTTCTTCTTGATAAACTTTCATATAATTGTTTATTGGACTTGTGTCCTAAATATAATGAAATAAACACTCTGTGCTTAGCAATAACGTGAATATTTTGTTCTATCGCGTCGAGCGCCATGAAGGACAACAAAATCCTTCAGCTAATTAACGTGGCATGGCGTGAGCGCTGGACCGACTCACAGTGGGGCATCAACATAAAAAAGGTGACACGAACATTTAAAATTGTCATATTATAAATTTCAACTTTACATCAGAGTGATAAAAGCATTTTACATTGAGAATTTTTGAACACGGTTTAAATATATACATAGAAAAAAAAAACACGCCATTAATCCTTAGCCTTCTTGCTTCCCTTGTGGAATTCAAACACCGGGTCTTCCGACTGAGCCAGCGCCAGAATAAGCTGTCGTTGCTTCATCGATAAATTGCAGGGAATACGCACTTTCAGTGTAATAATATGATTGCCCACACCATCACGTGTCCGCACCCCCTTGTTGTGCAGCACCACCTGCGTATGCGACTGAGTTCCGGGCTCGACACGCAGCTCGACATTATCATAGAGGCCGCGCACTAAGAAATTACCACCCAGAATGGCATCGGAAATGTTTAGAAATTTGTCTGTGTGTATATCGTTGCCGACACGACGAAAGTAATCACTTTGCGGCACCTGTAGGGTGTACTTGACCCGTTGCTTTGTATTGGGATTGTCGACGGTTATAACATCCCCAGTTTTGGACCCGGACGGCACTGTGATTAGAACCTCGACATTGCCCGTTACAAAGCCCCGGTTGTCACAGGCGTCGCAGTCATTGCGATTAATGTAACGCTTGCCCTTACACTGACTACACGTATTCACTGAACTGAAGGTCAACGTTTTCGTGGTCACCTTGCCAGTGCCGTTGCAGCGTCGGCACGGCTCCTTGCCCAGATCACGATTGGCCATTAGCTGCGATTTACCCTTGCAGCTTTCGCATTTTCTCAAATAGCGCAAGTCAATCCGCTTCTTGCAGCCGACGGTGGCCTCCAGAAAGCTCAATGGTAAATCGTACTCGCCAACAGTTAATTTTTTGATATCTGTATTGGAGTCAAAGTGAAATCGAGAATTAGTTAAATTAGTTACCCACTGGCTATTGGAGTAACGCACCCTCCGGACTTTGGCAAACTGCTTCAAATCTCTTGCTGTTCATGTCGATGTTCATGGGATTGCCAGCCTGCGCTAGGAATGCCTTCTCATCCTTGATACCACCCAGCTGATCGTATTCCAAACGTTTTGTCTCGTCCGTTAGTATATTGTAAGCATTGGAGAGTTCCTGAAAGTGCCTCAGCTTCTCTTCGGAGTGCATGGAGTCCGGATGATAACGTTTGGCCAAAGCATAGAATGCGCTACGAATTTGCTGTACGGTGGCATGTCTATTCACGCCAAGCACCCTGTAGTAGTAGTCCTTGGGCAGGCCGCGCTGCTGATGCTGCGGATTGATGGTCAGCATCTGCCTGGCCGACGCTGCGGTTCGCTGCATCTCTGACTTACGATCTGGATAGTAGACTTCCTTCTTGACCCGAAACTGATACTGGCTGATAAGACGCCTCCACAGCGTCGTGGCACCCACTGCAGCCTTCTCCCCATGGGCCGCACACCCGATGCTCAGCAACTGATTTGGTCGCCGTCTGCAGGATAACCTTAGGCCGTGCATAAAATAAATCTGAAAGCTTTGCAAATTCAACCGAAACATGATGCAACAACGCGGTTTATAGAAATTGCTAGAATCACGTATAAGGAACTATTTGTATTGTATGTATTTTAAGGCTTTTCGTTTCTTTTTGTCTGTATTGCGTCTATGTACCCTAAATTTTATTAAAATTACATTTCAACGCGTCTGAAACTGTAATGATACAGAGCTCAACTGGCCCCTGGCTTGCTTAGCCTTGCTTGAATTTAGATAATTTTCCAAATGTTTCACACATTCAAGTTCGCCTCTAACTGATTTCGATTCCATTTTGTTTTCAGGTCCTCCCGCGCGGCGTTAGTGGCGATGTTTACAATCTGGCTGAATGCCTGCTGCAGCAGGCGGTCATTGGCTCCACGGCGAATTCGGTAAGCATGGAGAAGGTAGTGCCAGGGAATCTCTAATCCTTCATTGGCCTCTCTCTTGCAGCTGGTTTTGAACTATCTGAAGCATTCGCTGTGCGCACATCTTGTCTCCCATGCGGCGGTGCTGCGCTGCATAGCCAAATACGACAAGCTGAATCGCGTCTACTGCGTGACGGCATTGTTGGAGTTCCTGGTCAGCATTATAGATGGCATCACTTGCCGGTTAGTTACTCTTGCTTGCACATCTCTTAATTGGCACATTTACCTCTTCTCACGTGCTCTCCTTCCAGCATCAAGTCTGAGGAGGCGCTGCTGCCTGGAGCTGTAGTCCAGCTGGTGATGTGGATCATGCAGATCTTTGCGCGCACTCTTCAGCAGTATGAAATGCGAGGCGAGCTGAGCGCGGAGCTGTCGTATATGCTGGATCAGAGCTGTCTGCTCATCGAGCACCTCACGCAGCAACAGTTCGTGCTGGCCATGTTGAATGTGGGCTGTCACGAGGAGCCGGAATCGGTAGACAGGCTGCACGATCTCTATGCCAGCATTAAGGCGTCGCTCACCAACTCCAACTTCACGCTGAGCGCTGCCACAGCTGAACAGCAACTGAAGCAATTGGCCTACATTGATGCCAAGCACTTGGACCTGCAGATACTGAATCCAAGCCCCAGTCTGGAGAAGATTTCGTGCTGTGTGCAGCCATTGCTCGCTGTAGAGGTGCTCTTGAATCCCTGCAAGGACACCTCGTACTACGTGGCCGAGCTGCAAATGCTGCAGCGCCTCAAGGGCTATACAAACACACGTCTGTTCTATGAGATTATACGCGCGGGCTTTCTCACGCTCAGCAACGTGGCCGACACCAGTCCGGACACCATGTGGGGCGCCTTCATGTTCTTCAAGATGCCGCACATCATCAAACAGCTGCATGCACTGCAGCGGGTGCCAGGCGAACAGCAGCTGGCGGCCACAGACTATATTCCCGAGCTGGTAGAGGCACTGGAGCTGCTGATCGAGGACAATTTGCTGCTGGACTTTATGGACACCAAGTGCTCATGCAATATCATTGAGTTCCTGCTCAACGACTGGACCAAACAGCAGCTGGTCAATGAGGTGCACGTCAAGAAGTTCGCCAGCCAGAGGTAAGTGAGCATTCCAGCTGGAAGTAGATGTTATCTTAACGGTCATCTCTTGTAGGGAGGCCGCTTCGCTGCTGCTCAAGAAGTGCGACAATGGCCAGCAGAAGCCTTCCAATATCAACTTCATCAAACGAGCCGAGGTGCCACTTTCGGGGGTGCTCAAGACGTTGTGCACCAACAAGATGCAGGACATGGTGAATGTGCTCTGCCATGTGCCAGTCGGGCACAGCTTCGAGCTCATACTATCGGTGGCCACAGTGGAGGGTCGTCTGAAGACCTTTGTCTCGCGCCTGATACAGTGCAATGAGAACTCGAAGCAGGTCCCCGGGGAACTGGGCAAACAGTGTATTACGCGGTCCACCCTGTTCGATGTTTCCTTTCTGATGCTCACCAGCATCGTGCAGACCTATGGCTCGGACGTAAGCAGTGCTGATAGCTTCTATATGCAGTCAATTAACTCAGGGGTCTTTCAGGTGGTCCTCTCCGAGCGCTGCGATTCGTTCTTCGAGAAGTGGGTTCGTACGTGTATGATGGAGCGCAATAAGCTGAAGAATCCACGCCAGATCTTGGCCCTCTGCGAAGACAGCATAGTGGACGAGCTGCTCTTGAGCTTGAGCAAACCGGAAGCGGCGCAGCTGAAACCAAGCAACCTGACATGGCAGGACATATGCCTGAACTTGCCAGGCGTGCTGCATCATGTGCTGATTGCCTGGGAGCAGGAAACGCTCTCCTCAGCGGATGTGAAGAGCATTCTGGACAATATGAAGCGTCGCCTCTTCAGCTTCTCTGTGTGTGCTACCTCATATCTGTGCGCCTACATGTACTCGGTGCGTGAAACAGAGCTGCTGAAGCCGTTAAATATGATACAACAGTTTCTGGCGCCACTCACCACTGAGGAGCTGTCCAGCCAGGAGAATTCGAAGGAGCGCCTGGCGCTCTCCTATCAGATCATACGTAAAATGCAGCACGATGTGCACCCTGCGCCCAATACGAAGTCACGCCTCATTTCCCACACGCCGTTGATCGAACAGTTTCGTGAGTGCTGGCGCATTGTATCGGAGGCTGGACACCTGCCGGTGCGTGCAGCCCAGACGCTGGAATCCCTGCTGCTGGCCGGTGGTGCCTCCTGGCTGGTCACACAGCTGGTGGAGCAGTTGCTGAGCTGCAAATACATGCGCGACATGGCCAAGTGCATGGACATAGTGTTTGCTGTAATGCATTTGGATATAGAACGCACCACCGAGGCGTTGCTGCAGTACGTCGTGGCTCCATTGGTTCTCAGACGGCAAGGGTGGGTCTCGCCCATATCTAGTAGTCTATAGTTACCGTACTAATTGCCTTCTTACCCTTGCAGCGAGGACATCAACGAACCGCAGTCCCTGGTGCTGGCGCGTTTGAGCGTCTACTGCATCATTTCCTGTCTGGAGACGCGCAGCTCAAGCAGCGCCGCTGCAGCTACCCTTCAGAAGCGCTCGCGCTCCCACGACGACGACGAGATGACGGGCGTGGCGAATGCGGCGAAGGTGCGCAAGGTCATCGGCGACGGCAGCGACAACTCCAATGATTTCGCCGATGGCGATGCATCGAATGTTGTCGCACTGCTAAGCGCGCCCAGCGCTGAGCTACGCGTCACCCCACTCAACCTCAAGGAGCCGCTGCAGGCGAGCATCAAACACATATTCCGTGTCTTTGTGCAATTCGTTAGCGGCGATGAGCTGTCGCCCAAGGCCGTTTTCGTCTATCAGTTCATCTCGCTGCTGGTGGAGTGCGGCGGCGAGCGTGTGACACCTGTGCTGCGACTGCTGCCGCCAAACCTGATGCAACAGCTGCTCAAGGTGTTGGCCACCGATGACATACGTGTCGGTCTCATCAGCCGCCTCTACGATCTGCGCCTGCATGCCGGTCGCCAAGCTGCCGTGGCCGATCTCTGCCTGTGGCGAAATATGCAGCTGGCGCGAAACAGCATACACCTGTGATCAGGTGCCGATAGAGTGGCCTGAACGGTAATAAAACGAGCCTACATTAAATACACACATCAAACTGCAACATTCTTGTTTCTATGCCTTGCAAATACAATTAGAATAACGGGCAACATTTCAACATTTCCCTGGACTTTCAGATAGACTAAAGAGCTATCTACTCTTGCCCTCATGACGCATCAATCGTGAGATTCCAGACATTGATTATGATTCATGAGTAACTTATTTTTGTTTTTACTTTTATATCTCCATTCATCCTTGCTCATTATCTCCCTCGATTGCAATTACAAACATGATAAATTTTATAATTATAATAATATTGGCTTTAGACTAACAACAAATTATTGACTCGACTCGCATTTGTTTTTTTTTTTCGGTTCGCAGTGGTTGATTTAGGTTTTATTACGATAATTTGTTGTTGTTGTTGCTGTTGTTGTCATTGCGGCCAAGCGCTGCCTGCTGGTGTTATCGTTATTACTGTTGTTGTTGTTGTTGTCGTTGCTGTGGCCTGTTGGTGCTCCCTCCTCCTACGTGTGTTGCTTGTGTTGAGTCAGTGGAGCGGGTCAGCGGCAGCAGCAACAACAGAGCAGGCAGGCAGATGCCGGTACTTAAATAATAGAGTTTTCATTTCCTATATATCACTTGAGACAGCATTCAAAGAAAGTCTCGCCAACGCAACCGCCGCGCATTGCCTTCTTAACATTATACTCAAACTGGCGTCGATTGCTTTGCAGCACATCAGCAGCTTCCTTATTTAGGGGATCCTCAGGATTGGGTTCCTAAAAAGAAAATACAACTTTGTAGTCAAATCTCAATCCAACTATGTTTGCTTTAGGGTGAATTCGTTACCAAGAACAGAAATTGCAAGCCATAGACAATGGAATTGATGGTCAGCACTGGATTCCAGTCCTCGCGTAAAATGTTCAAGCACACATTGCCCTCTAGATCGATGTTCGGATGATACACCTGTGTGGCGCATTTCACCTTTGGCGGCTCGTGTGGATAATTGGAGCCGACGCGAAAATTGAACACAAATCGCCCGTCTTTGTAGAAGCCCTCATCGGGGGATATAATCAATTTGAAGTTTAGCAAGTCATCGCTGTCTGGAAACTCCGTGACACAAGTTTTTGGCAGGTTTAGTTCGTTAATATCTAAAAATACGAATATTTCATTTGCATTAACAATGTATAATGTATAAACATATATAATATATATACATATGCATATATATATTATAATGAAAACGAAACTAAAATCATGGGCGCCAAATGGTTCACGACTTTTACCTTTTTGTATGCGCAGCTGGGCAGCTGATGCCTTTTTCTGCTGGCCACCGCGTGCCGTTTGATCTCCATCCTTTTTTTGTTGTTTCAGCGAGAAAAGTTTAATCATTTTTTTTTCTATATGTATTTGTTTGCCTGCCTGGCCGCTTGTTCGCGTCGTTCGTCTACAGCTTCCACTTCAATCTCTGTTGAGCGTTTCGCTTCGCAGTCAATTGCTGGCTTGTTGCTTCTGCTTTTGTGCGTATTAAATTGTGATCATATTTGGAATTCTTCAGCAATTTTTAAAAATGTTGTATCGTACCTTAAAATTTTAGTTGTTGGTTGTTTCAAGAGCTTGCTTCTTCTTGCTTTTTAGCTCTCAATTTCTCTGCTGTCATTCAAGGTAGCGCAGCGAAAACTATCGATGATACTATCGTTGATTTAATGGTCGATACACGCGTCAAGAGTTGTCAGCTCACTTCTTTTTATAAAATTTTGTAGTAAAAACAAAAACAATTGCATTACAGTGTTTCTCGATATATGTACAAATAAACCAAATAGGACAAATTAAAATGAAAATATTAAATAGCCTACTGCTGCATATCGATAGTTGTATCGATATTATTACTTTGCACATGTTAGGTGAGACGCGCAAAAACAAAAACATTTAATTTAAGATGTCCACAGAGCCTGAAATAGCGAAGGATGCTGTGCTTAAGCGTAGCGAACGCCTTTCGGAGGACACTCCACAAGTGCAGGGATATGATTTCAATCTGGGCATCAACTACAGCAAGCTGCTCGAATCCTATGTGAGCACCGGCTTCCAGGCCACAAATTTGGGTCTGGCCATAAACGAAATCAATAAGATGGTAAGTAATTATATTTATTGGGCATCACATTATACTGAAGGACAGTTGGATTGCAGGGCTCTGCCGCTAGACGCTGAGCAGCAGGATGTCCACGAAACGGACGAGTTTATCAAACGCAACACCAGATGCACTATATTTCTGGGCTACACCTCAAATTTGGTTTCGTCGGGCTTGCGGGAGACGTTGCGCTTCCTTGCCGAGCATCGGATGGTCGACTGCATTGTGACGACGGCTGGAGGCGTGGAGGAGGATTTTATCAAATGCCTGGCACCCACATTTATGGGCTCATTCGAGTTGAGTGGAAGCCAATTGCGAGAGCGCGGTATCAATCGCATTGGCAATCTGCTAGTACCCAATGACAACTACTGCAAGTTTGAGGATTGGCTAATGCCGCTGCTCGATGAAATGCTAGAGGAACAGAAGAGCAAGGGCACGGTCTGGTCACCCTCACGCATCATCCACAGGTTGGGTGAGCGTATTGCAAATCCGAGTTCTATCTACTATTGGGCTGCCAAAAACAAGATACCCGTGTTTTGTCCAGCGTTAACCGATGGAAGCCTTGGCGACATGATGTACTTTCATTCGTTCCGCCACCCGGGTCTGGTTGTGGACATATTGTCGGATCTGCGCAGGCTCAACACGATGGCTGTCAAAGCTGTAAATAGTGGCATGATTATTGTGGGTGGCGGCATCATAAAGCATCACATTTGCAACGCCAATCTTATGCGTAATGGCGCCGACTATTCTGTTTTCATAAACACAGCTTCGGAGTTTGATGGCAGTGACAGCGGTGCACGACCGGACGAGGCAGTATCCTGGGGCAAGATACGCAAAGATGCAACGCCCGTCAAGGTGTATGCCGAGGCCACTTTGGTGTTTCCCCTTATCGTGGGAGAGACCTTTGCCAAGCGACACTTTAGCCAGAAAGAGGCCATGTTGTAATTGTGTGTATATATATAAAGTAAATATAGTGAATATGTTCCATAGAAAGTAGTGTAATTTTCTGGTGGCCGCATTCTAACAACCACTTTTAAGCCACAATAAGCAACAGCTCCGTCCCCAGTCTCATGGGGTGTGGGCACTAAGAAAACTGGCCAAGGAAAGTTGTCAGCCACAGCTTCTGCATTGGCAGCAGAAAGCCATTAAGCGTTGTTGCCTCTGTGCGGAAATGTGCAAAATGTGATAAATGCAACAAGCAGCCCATTTTCAACTCCAGCAGTTACGTTCTGAATAGAGATGAGCAAGTTTCGTGATTTCCTGCTGGTCTTAGATGAAAAAGCACGAAGTTGTTGATCTTCATGCATTGTGTGGAAGAAGAGCCTTGCACATCTCTAGTTACGAGTTAAGTGGCCACTGCAATAGAGATGAGAGCGTGTTGCACTTTACACGACTAGAAAGAAATTCTAGGCATTCTATCGTATCGTATCGTATTGTATTAGAAAAATTGTGCTCTTCTCTAGCTACTGCTGCTCCATTATAATGGCTATGTAGTGCACTTTGCTTCTTCGCTTTTTGGCAGGAGCAGAGCGAAAACGCAACTTTTGTTGAGCATTTTAACAGTAAAATGAAAGTTGTGGTCCTTGCTGGTCACAGATGCTGCTCTGTCCGCTTCCCCCTCAGCCAGAGTCATTGCGGCAGCTCCTTTTCTTTTTGTCACACACAAAAAGAGGCAACTAAGTCTTTGGCGTAATTGCTTGGGGTTTGCTGTGCACATAAATTTTGCCTTCAGCGTGAAGCTGCCTTGGCGACTTTTCACTTTTGTCATACATATTTTGCTCTCCTTTCTGCCATGCCCTGCTTTCGCTGCACTCTGCGCTTAAGAGTCAGAAATTGTTTTGGGAACAATGCATTCGCATAAGCTCACAAATTTGTCATTAATTTTATGTCGCTAATGCCCGCCACCCACCAACGAAAGCCACAACTCAAATTTTATGTTTATGGCTCAGAGAGTCAGGACTCTCCCCCCGCTCTCCCTGCTCCCATCCAACCCGGTGTCGGTAAGCCTCTGCTGTCTGAGCGAAGTTTTCGCTGTCTGTGCGCATCATTAAAGCGAAGAACGAAAACTTTTCACACACTTTTTTGTTTTCCTGTTTTCGCCGCATTCTTTATTCGTGCTTTTCGCCGCGCTTCACTTCGACAGTTGGTCTCACATATTTTGAGCTATTGTCATTCAGCGGAGTCGTGGGGTATGGCAGCTGCATTTGCTTTGCAACTTTTTCGCAGCCACAACTTTTATACAGTTTACTTGATTCCTGTTTTTTTAAAAGAATATTTTGTTGTTTTCCTTTCAAATATGTATGACTGGGTCGCTTGAAGTTCAGTCAACCATCATGTACTTATTACCAAATGCTATGCTTTATCAAATTTCACAAAATGTTCGCCACACTTTGGCAACAAATGTTGGAAAACTGTATTTTCGCTATCGTCAGCGGATGTTGAACGTTTGAACTTGGACACGCTGTTTGCTTTGTCTATATACATATATATATGTAAGTGCACGTAAGTCCTGTTACTCAAGCTTTTTGTTGTTTTCCTTATTATTTTGTGTGTTTTGCAAAGCATATTAAAATGTTGCCACCATGCAGGTGAAGTAAACACCTTTGTAAGCACACAGTAGTTATGTATGAATGTCAGTTTGCTTCTATAAATATATGAATTTAACGAAAGAAAATGTAGCTTGCTTTTGCAAGTGCAGCAAACAATTGGGTATTTTGCAATTTTCATAGCATGCTTTTCCGCGCAACAACTAAAATCAGACAATGGATGAAGTTAAGTTTTTTGTAGCATACTTTTAGGCGCAGCCAGAGGGCAATAGCAATATTTAATACAAAATGGCGGTTGTTATGTCTCGAAAAGACCTAAAAGCGAAAGATGTTGAGTAAGCTCTATAATTAATATGAAATTTAAGCAACTATGAGACACCACGACAGTTGATTGACCTGGAGCAAGGATGCAACTGTACACATATTATATACACCTGGACATCACAGCAGCTATGACTCATAATGCAGACACCACTGTATTGGTCTCTAATGAAGACACTGTGCTGCAGTAAACTATAATCCGGCTGCGTTTGGCTTGGCACCAACTGCCGCAACTTGTGGAAACTTGGCAAGAAAATCAATTGCACTTATTATACTTGCGCCATTATCGGCAGCCACACACCAGGCAGCCAGGCCAGCAGTATTGTCGTCGTTAAGAAGTGCTTAACTGCATCATGCTGTCATATCTAATGCCACACACACAAACACACACACACAGCGCTTAAAAACTAATTACGAGCAAAGCTGTTGCTGTTGTCGTTGTTGTTGTTGTTGCGAGGCAAGTTTTGCACTTGCCTTTTCCTTTTTTTTTTCATAGTTATCCTGGCCAAGTTTCCAGTGCTTACGAGCAAATTAAAACTACATTAAAACTTTGGCGAGTCCAGTTCCTGGCAATTGACAGCCACACACACACAGACGCAGTGAATTAGTTGTTAGCAGGAATAGAAAATATATTTAGTTATTATATACCATACACACAGAGATAGGAAAGTCAAGTTATTTAAGAACAATTTAGCATTTGCTGCTGGACTCGACGTCCCTTGGCCGCTGCGACTGGCAGTACTGGCAGCTGCGCTTGTCGTATGTGTCCATTAGATCTTCGGGGTTGCTCAGCTGCCCGAGCTCGGGCTGGCAGTCGTCGCAGCCACAGAAGTCGCTGCTGCTGTTGCTGTCGGGATCGAATATGTCGCTGTTCGTTTGGGTTTTGGTGCTGCGCATTGTTTCCGCCTTGTTGTAGCTGATCGCTCTGGACTGCTTTGAGAAGTAGGGCGAGGCAGCCGCCTGTTCCCAGAAGATTTCCTCGCGCTGCTTCAGATCCTGTACGTGCACCTGCAGCTGCTGGCGCGCCAGCATCAGTGCCCGCTGCTCGCGGTGGAGCAGCTGCTGCTTGGTGATCAGCGCCTCCTGCTGCTGCTGGAACAGCTTGTCGTAGAGCATGCGCACATTCTTCTCTCGACGCTCACCGGCCTGCTCCAGCATGTTGTCCAGCACCGCCTCCAGCTTGCGATCCAGGTCGGCGAGCAGCTTCCGTGCCTCCGGGTCGTCTTCCAGTATGTGCTGTAGGCTTATGTATAGGAAGTTCAAAGGTCCGGTGCTTGTCGCCCAGTCCTTCAGCTGGCGTATGGCCAGCTGTGCGCCGTGATCTATGCGCTGCAGCAGCCACTGCATCCGTGCCTTGGACAGCGGCAGCGGGAGGTGACCCTGGCCCTCCAGTATGCGCTGCTGCCAATGGGTATCGGCTTGCCGATAGAGCTGCTCGTTCTCCATGGTGCGAGCGTGCATTTGATTGATCTCTTTGAGGAGCTGTTGGTTCCGCTGCGTGAGCAGCTCGAAGCTGGGGTCGGCATAGTCGATGCATTGGCTGCCACCTCCAAGACGTTCGTGCAGCATCCGACTATCGTTGTAGCAGGACATGTTTGAGGTCACTGCAGATGCCACGTCCTCGTTAGCCAAATCTAGTTCCGGTAAGTCCATTTCCTCTGGAATCATCTCCAGTTTGGGTTTTCCTTGCTGCGGAAGCTGATGCTGTTTCCACTGTTCCTTTTGATGCTTCATTTCCTGGCGCGTCTGCTGCTGTTCCCGCTCCTGCTCTAGCTCCTGCTTCTGCTCCAGTTCCTGCTTCTGGCATACCTCCATTTCCGCCTCTATTCCCTGACTGCCTTGATAGTCGCTGAGCACATCCTCGAGCGAACGATCCATATTCTCCATCTTGATAAAGGGCATTCCCAGTTTGCCCATCTCGCGCAGCTGCCCGTACATGAGCAGCATCAGACAGTTCCTGGCATATTTCTCGGCCCGGCTGGACTTGTGGAAGACCTGCAGCCACTGCTGGCTCATCACGAAGTCCGACTTGCTAATGTTCTTCGAGTAGACGTCGAACATTATGCGCAGCTGCGACACGAAGTGCCGGTCCAGCGTGTTCTCATTAATTTCACTCATTTTCCCCAGATTCATAGATCAGAGATTGATCTACAGCTTTGATTTATGTATTTTGTTTCTTATGTTTGGCCAATTGTGGGAATCTGTAAAATTTTCATTGTTTTTTTTTTTACATTTTTGTTTTTCACAAAGTCAGATAGTAAAATTTGGATCTGACGGAAAATTTTAAAAGCAATTCAAATGAGAGACAGATAACTAGTTAAGAAAGAAAGAGAGAATCCGATAATGTGGAGAAAGTTAAAGGGAGTGTGAAGCAGAGAAAGAATTAGAGAGAGAAAGTGAAATGGATCGAGAATACAGAGAAAGGGAAATGTCCATTAGCACTAGAGCCGTAATGTTTCCTAATAACGTTTGCAGACCCGTTTAGATTAGAACAAGGACTTTTAAGGACAGCACTTAACAAGGATTCAACCATTAAATTGTTTGTTAATTTAATTTTGACTATGGGTCGTCCTTTGATAATTATTCAAATTTCTTAAATACAAGCTTAAAGCCAAAACTCATTTAAAATTCAGGTTTGCCTTTGTTGGTTGCGTACAGCCGCCCAAAAGGAGCTCTGTGTCAGTTATCAGTTTTCGGCTTTCAGTTTTCGGTTTTCGGTTTTCACTGGCTGCTTGGCTGCCTATGCTGTGGGCCGAGGTCAATGGAATGCCTTGCTCCACAAAGTTTTCACACCTTTCTAGCCAAGATAATGGCACTAAAATGCCGCAAATACTTGCAAGACATCCACAGAGAGAGAGAGAGAGAGAGAGAGAGAGAGCGAGAGTGAGAGGGAGTATGGACGTATATACAATGGCAGGCGCACATCCTGCCGCCGATAAGCTGGAAATATTCTTGGCCATGCTGTTTAATTCCTTTGCCGTTCCTATGGCATTTTTTAGTTCGATTTTTTTGTTTGCGCTCATAAATTGCGCAAATTCCTTTTGTGAGCATCAAGATGAAATGGCTGAAGCGAGTGGGCGATGGCAGTTTCTCAGAGGACTCCGCGGCCCCAGCACATCTAATTTCTCAGCATGTCCTGTGCACGCTTATTAAAGTATAAATCATTTGATGGCCGCGCCCTGCGATCTGCTCCAACCGACTGAGTAACAAGCCCGTCAAAATCTGCAGCAACAAAAATACCTAACAAAAAAATACTAACGAAAAGCAGTCAAAAAAAGGAAACAATAGAAGGTGAGTGGGAGGTAAGCAGATGTGTGGTCTTGGCTAAAGTACATTATCGTTGGTCGGGCGTGAGGCGAGCTGCAACAAATGTAGCAGAAAACCGCAGCTGAGAGTAGTGCAATTAAATGCAGGAAATAATGGCTACCGCAGCAGTAGCAGCAGAGGCAATAGCAACAGCAACAGCAGTAGCAGCTGCCTGCTTGTCTGGGGACGTGGTTGCCTCACCGGAAAGGAGCGAGCACAGGAAGCATTCACAGCATCTTCTAGCCGGGCCCAAGTGTCCAATGCAGCATAACAATTTTGAGGCGAGCGCCAAAGTTCAGCTCGAACAAACTTGTGAGACGCTGCAATAAAAGCAATTCAGCCAAGTGTCTAATAAGCCATTGCCTAAGTGTGACCAGCTAAGCATAATTGCAATATGCTTAACTTTGGAGGCGTTGCCAAGCGTTTTAAATGAGCTGCTGAAGCTGGAGAGATAGAGAGATGGAGAGAGAATGAAAGATCGTTTATGGCTATTTTTAAGTGTGACCAGTTGAGTATAATTGTTAAATGCTTGACTTTGGCAGCTCGTTGCAGAAATAACTGACGAAGAAGAGAGGGAGCAATTGAAATAAAAACAACAAATGAAAGAAAACTATTATGAAGTGGGACCAGTTAATACCTAATTATCAAATGCTAAAGTTTAAAAGCGTTGGCAGGCAGACTTTGACAAATCAAGTTATTTTTGTCACAAAAATATCTGAGTTGGCCACTCTCAAATGTGAGCAGTTATTTCTTCAACAGAAAATAGCTAATTAAAAAGGCGTCAGACCCATATTCATAGACGTCACTTAATAGTCATTTGTTATAATTCTTCACAAATGGATTGCTTGCCAAGCAGAGAGCCAAGCAGAACCTAATGTAGCGCAACAGAAACCAAATTTGATATGATTCTGTAGCCTGACCTCATGTGGGGTTTGAACTGCGGCTTTTGCTTTGCTCAAAGCAATATATGCACGCCTGTGAATGCGTGTGTGTGGGTGTGTGTATGGGTTTGGGTGCGCCAGCTCTCAATATGGAAAATGCATGTTGTATAATGCAATTTTCAATTGCCAACTATGAAAATATAGTTTTACTTTTTTTCTTTTGCCAACGCTCTCTCTCTCTCTCTCTCTCTTTCTCTACGTTCTGTTCTGCATGTGTTGGTGCTTAATTGAATTCAATGTGCACTTAAGCGACATTCGTTGATAATGAAATTCTGGTACAAAATTGCAGGCGAAAGTGTGGCTCGGACAAAGAGCTGACTATACTATATACATATTTTGTAGCTATGCAAATGCAAAGTTTTACATTTTTTTCCGTTTTTTTTTCGTATTTTATTGCACAATAAATAATGCGAAATAAGTAGATGAAATAGCAGCGCGCACAGCTAGAGGGGGGCGCGGAGGGACGGTGTAGTGTAGAGCAACAGCTGCCTGGCAACGGCAACGGCAAAGGCGAATTCGAAATGAAATTAAACTTCTGTTGGAGAAAACGTTCATGGAATTTGCCAACATTTACAGCAAAAGCAAGAGAAAGAGAGAGAGAGAGAGCGTGAGGGAGAGCAGGAGAGGGCGATAGAGCGGGCGCCTTTGGCATAACCATATTTTATTTTATTTCATTTGATTTGATTTTATATTTGATTTCGTTTAATGCTGTATTTTATGCTTTGCAAATAATCGATTTGTCCGTCCAATTGTCGTTCCGTTGATTTGTCCATCCGTCCGTCTGTCTGTTTGACTCTGAGCTGGAATGTTGGCCAAAGTATGAGCAGCTGCTTCAATATTGCGCATAGCATTTCAAAAACTTCACATAGCACAGGGCTAGAGACATGACTCTATAACCATATAGAGTGCACATGTCTGTAGAGAGAGGCGTGATTAGAGTAGAGTAGTAACTTTAAGATACCCTAGAAAGAAAACCTAATATGATTGTGGTCTTAAATTTCATTTTGTATTTATTAGAGTAGAGGTATACCAAACTCTATGTGTGTAGTTTGAACAGTTCCAAAGAGATTGCTAGCCCTACATATACATAAAATTATAATAGTGTACTATGATTGTTATTTCTCTATTGTTATCCACGTTAATGCTTTACATACTCTTTCTTTCCTATGTGCAGGGTACAAACATTCCTCACAATCGACTTTGCTCTCGGAGTTTTATTGATTGATTTTCAATGGCCATAGCGAAAAGTGAGCGTCGGAGCAACAGACAATCAGGCAAAGCCATAAGAAAGTCAGCCATCTGCAGCTGCTAGAAGTCAGCCAGGCAGTGGGGCAGTCCGGCAGGCAGTCAGCTCTTATCCAGCGGCTGCTCCTTTGGCTCACGCTGCGTATGCTCAATATATATTGAGATGATGGCCACGTAGATGGTTAGTTGAACTGTTGGGGGGCGAAAAAAGTTTGCACAAGAAATTCAAGCAATGATGAAGTGTTTTTATTGTGTTTATTGGCATGCGTTTTTAATGAAGCAAACAGTCAAATGGAAAACAGCTGCGGGCTGAGTAAGAAGGAAGACAATCGGCATACAAACAACTCTATTATACATATAATATATATATATGCATGCATGTAAATATGTATGTATGTTTCTGTTAAATGAAACTTTTTTCATTAAAACTCTCGAAGCTGAAGTACCAGCTGGATAAGTGAGTGCAAAATGTTATTTTATTGTCAACAAGCCAAGTTACAGACGGTAAGGCGAACGTGATGCTGCAGGGGTGGGGGCGGGGCCAGAGAACTGCCAAAATATATTTAATATGCAATATAAACACAGAGCAATGGCAAGGAGCAACAAGGACGCAGCGACACAGGGACAACAACATGACACGCTCATAAACTCATTTGGGGCGCTGCTACAACAACGACAACAACTACAACAGGCTGCTAGCTGTGCTTGTTCTCAAACAGAGATCGGGTATATTAGTTTGGTATATTCATTTGAGGTATTTTTTCTAAGAATTTCATGTGTTTAAAGAATTTTGTTTTGTTAGCATTATCTCTGTTTCCTTCGAGAATTTCTTCCAAGTCCTTAATGCGTAGCTGAGCGATCACAGAATATTATTTTTCACTTCACTTCACTTTACTGCACTGCACTGTTGACCCCCACCGGGCCTGGGCGACTGAAGAAATGCAGCGCCTGCTGCCCAATATATAGGGCGACTTTCACTCTCACCAAGTTGCGCTCAAATTTTGATCGTTGCAGTCGACTTTTAGGGGACCAATGGGAGCACTCTCTGCTGCTGCACTCTCAAGTAAAAATACCCAATGAGAGCTTCTGCATACACATGTAGACAACTTAAATGATCTCTCTTCTTCGGCGACAGGTAGCGATCGTTGCAGTGGACCAATAGGAGCGCCCTCTGCTGCTGCGAGCACTTTAACTTCGTTTTACTCATGTATAAATACCAAATGAGAGCTTCTGCATACAAATGAAGACAACTTGAATGATCTTCTATAGCTCTTCGATGCTCTTGCTTCTGTTAGACAGACAGACTAACAGAAATGCAAGTATATTTAAATAGGATTACCAAATTACGTTGTCAAAGAATATTCATATATGTATAAGGCTTATGCACATTAATATAAATAATAATTAGATGTCATAGACATCAGTTTCTTATGTTTAGTCGTTCTCTTACGGACTCTCTGCATATTCTGCCTCACTTTCTGGCTATTCCATGGCAAATTCTCAGAACGAGTATTCTACAGTCGTGACCCTCTGCTGTAGGGCTTTCACTTGGTTTTTTAGAGGGACAGCAACGAATTTTTTAATAATACCTCAAGGATTTCACAGTGTAAGGAACACATCAAATATACATAAATGTGCCGTTCGTTGTTGTTGTTTGTGCTTTATGTCAAAGTCACAGGCTAACCCACAACTGTGTCCACAACTTTTTTCATTAATTTTAGTAAAAAACAGAGGGGGAGAGAGAGACGACTTCTGGCGCATTAGCCATGGCGATTAGGCACTGCCTACGCCGGCTCCTGCTGCCTCTCTATAAAAATATTGCCAGCAGTCATTATCAATTTATGGCCCAAAAGGTTTGCTACCGGCTGGGACTCGAGCTCAATTTGTAGCTGGTGCTAAAATTGAATTGTTTAATAAAGTATAAAGCCCCCAAGCCCCAGACTCATCTATGCTCAAAAGCTGTTGCCAAATATACCAAATATTTAATATTTTCCTTGCGAAATTAGTAAAGGCATTTGCCTTCTTTCCTAGACCTCTGGCAACTCCCTTGGTATGCGTATGGTTCCTTAGGTATTTTCAGTTTTGGTATTTTTGTTTGCAGCTTAATTTGGTTTTATTTACGCTTTTTGGAATTTGTTGCGCTTTTGAGCTTGAGCAACATTTTTGTGGTTGCCTTGATGTAAATAAATAATTCTCGTTTTGTTTAATAAGAAATTCATGTTTCTTAAGCCATTGGCGAATCGATGTGAAATGTGTTTAGTATTTTTATTTAGGCTTTGATTTGATTCAATGTTTGAGCTTAAGAATTTTGTAACTGACCAAACTTCAATAGAATCACTAGCCATACAATGGATAGTGATGTAACTCTTCTATGATTCCACCCAGGCCAGGCTTTAAGGCATTGCTCTGAGCTGACTGTTGATTTAATGCTAACTAAGCGTATTTTTGTAACAATTTTCGTGCATTTTCCCGCTTCATAGCTCATGTAACCGCAGCTGGGACAGCGAATTCTTTGGTTCTAGCCAGACGAGTGGATTCCGGCCAAAAACCGAAAAAAACGTAGAGCTAAAGCCATGCATATGCATGACGCATGTTGTTAATGCCATTTCCGAATGGAAAACTGGCCAAAAGAAAACTTGCTTACCCAAAAAAAAAAAAAAAAAGAGGAAAAACGAATCTAAAGGGAAGAGTCATCATCAAAAAAAATGAAGCTAAGTGCTGTATCCTGTAGCTGTTGCCACAATCGCATCTGGAATGCTCTTTGCCCACTTTGGCCCGCTGCGGTCGACGTGAGCTTGCAGCAGAGAACGCTGCCAGCGAGGGCTTAGACTGAATGTTGGCTTTAAGCCAGACCCGGCCGGGCCAGCACAATATGTGCATAACTCTCGCTTTCCGTTTGAAAGTCGCTACACACAGGGCGCAGCGCACAGAGCAAATGCCAGGCATATAATCTCTGACCCAAATCCCTGGATCCACGCCTACGCTTACGCCTACGCGCGGGGCGACGCCTTAAAGACATAAGCAAACGGGGTCACACCTACCTGAGGGTAGTTATGCTAAGCAAATATTGGCACTAGCTTCAATACGCCCGGCTCGGCTCGGCTCGCCCGGCTCGGCTGAGGCTAAGTCCTGGCATGGCCAAAATGGGTCACAAGTCGCAGCGATGCCAGCTGAGGCTAAGCTCCACAGTTGCCTGCAGCAAGTAGCAAAAATCCGAGCCATTTAATTGCAAATGCCACAAAAAGCGGGACCTTTAATGGCCTTCAAGTGGTTAGGGATGTGCTGGTGTGCGCTGGTGTGGGCGTGGCACTTTGCGCTTGAATTAACAAATTAATGCAAATCAACACGGAGGTGCTGCCTGACAGAATCCAATGAATATTTATTAACTTTTTCTTCAGACTCTCGACTCACGCGACTCTCCCGGCTAGCCGTCCTCCCGCCTCATTCCTTCCCCACTGCGCCTGTGTTTCTGTTTTCTTTTTCCGTAAAGCTGCATTTCGATTTTCAAGCTCTAATTTAATTGCAGCAGCAAGGACAACAGCATCCGCATCCGCATCCGCTTCCGTCGAGGCACAACATCCGCCAGCTGCTGCTGACAATCGCATTACTATGCGCCGCCTTGATGGATGAGCTTCAGTTCAGCCACGCCCACGCCCGGTTGAAGTTTGTCTATCCATGGCAGCCTGTACAGGTGGACGAGCGCTGCTGCCACTACTGCCGCTGCTGGGTCTGCTCTTGCTTAATGCACTCATTTAATTGCATTATGCCGCAGGCCCTTGCATTGCCCCAAAGTGCGGGGCTGGGCTGGGCTGGGTGGCAGGTGGCAAGTAGCATGTGGCATGTGGCATGTGGCAGCTGCTGCAGCGGCTCACTGTCACCAGCCAGTTGTCGCACTCAACAATAACAATAAGCAGAGTGCTTCAGCTGTGGGTCAACGACTTCGGAAATACCCTGAACTTGGTTGGGTTAAAGGAACTTTCTTATTGGTAGATCAAAGCGATCGTATATTGATCTCTAATTGATGTAGCAGATCTGACTGACACATCGATATCTTAAACAGAATCATTATCGTTACTTATGATTATATCGATAATGTTATCGATTTACGCATGCATTAGAGAGCAACATCACTCAACTCATCCAGACCAACAGCTTTAAGATCCTTGCCTTCCATACAAGCTAGAGTAGCAAGAGAGACATTCATCTTCATATAATTTTTAACATCGTACACACATTATGATCTAGGCTAAATACCCTACAATAGAGTATTTAATATAAACACCGCATTAATTTGCATGCGAGAAAACAACTTCTTCATATCCTTACAATGTTTTCACTCCTTGACTTTAATGAAGTCAAGAAGATGCGGCTGCTCTTGAGGCAAGCAGCAGAAAGAAGAATGAGTAAAGCGTCGCATTTATAATCACAAAAGCAGGAAACGTATAATTAAAGTTGGGTTTTTTCTCATTTACATATGTATGTATGTGTATCAAATAGAAGGATTGCACTTAAATACAGAAGCAACGGCAGCTGTTGGCACTGGCTTGGAGGTGGTCAGAGTCGCGCGATAGCTGGACACAGCAGCTGTGCTCTAGGTTCAGGTCCCTCAGCATCTGACCCTTGTCCAGCCAATCGATAGACGCATCCAGGCCGAAGCGTCCCGCTTTGTTGCGCAGCTTGTGATGCGCCATGGCCGCCTCGTCGTTGTTGCGATACTTTATGACATAGATGTAGCGCTTGGGCTCATACTCGTACACGGTGAGCTTCAGATAGTGGCTGACCAGGCGCAGCTCATGATGCACCTGCAGCGGTGTCAGGTGGTGGACATTGTTCAGGATGAGATCTCTGCGATTGCGTGACTCGCGCACATGAATCCTCATATTCTCGCGCCGAAAGCGATGCTCCAGCCTAATGATCAAGGAAGGTTATAAATATATGTACTTATTGGTCTAAATACTAGATTTATTACGTTTCAATTAGCTCCGTTTTGTGCATTCTATCGACGTACTGTAGGTAGGCATAGCCACGACTGCAGCCCGAGAGGTCAACCTTGAAGCGCAGCGTGTACACGGGGCCCAGGTCAATTGCCACCTGCATGATGTGGTCCGCCGTGGTGCGCTTGTGAATGTGAGTCAGAAACAGCTGCAAAAGTAAGCTTAGTATGTACCTTGTTTTGTGTGATCTATATACATGGGTTTCACCTCATCGGCGCCTTGCTCCAGCTCGGCGACCCTGTGGGGATCCAAATACAAGCAGGTGGTCACATAAAGTGTGCCGTTTACTTGATTTTTACGATATTTGTGCTGTGGCTCGTAATCCATTTCAATAAAGTGCGGAACGCTTGCGCAAAAGCTGCAAAAGACAGTGTTGCCAGCTGCAAGCGTCGCAGCGTTGCCAGCGAGATGTAGCTCTAGTTGCGATAGGAGGTGTGATCACATAAATGCATTTGTATGTATGCAGATATATCGATAAACAGTCGTGTACGTGAGAAAGATGGTATGCTGGTATCTGGTTAGTGCTGGTATGCTAGTTGCTGCCATTTTAAATTTGATGATGATTTTAATGGCGAGCAGCAGCTTACTATGGACAGGGCTGCCATATCAGTGCGGCTATTGCAATTTGAAATAAAAACACTATAATTAGACTTTTGGTATTTATTTTAGTGCTTGTTGTTGTTGCTGTTGCTGTTGCTGTCTTGGCATTGTTTTGGACAGGTTGTGCGTGCTTATTTTCTAGCTCATGCCTAACAATATAAATTAATGCGGCCCACACACACAGAGAGGCACACACACACACCTGCTTTGCTAGCCACAGACCGCAGCAGCTACACTTTGCTAGCTGTTGTTGTTGTGGCTGTGGTTGGGCCACCCGCTGCTGGGGCAAGCTTAGGCGCCCCAGCCGAGAGTAAGAGCCGTTCCGCTGCACTCAAGTGCTTTGCCGCTGCCTGCTGCTTCATTTTCCTAATTTATACGCGCGCAGCGCTAATGAAAATTTGCGTAACAAGGCAAACCACACGCTTTGCTGTCGGCGCAGGCATCTCCGCCAGCTGCCTTTGTGCTTATTGTAAATGACATGGCGTTGGTTTGTGGCACTTCAAGGTGCATGCAGCGCCACTTGGTGCTCCACTTGATGCGATGTTGTGAAAGTTATGCGCGGTCGCAGTTCGCCTGGAGGCAGACATCATAATCCTGTCATGGCCTGCTACAGCGTCCTTGACAGATTGTTGAAGCCACTTGCTAGCTTGCTGGGCAACTCGGCCTGGGAATTGAGCTCATTCTATATTTGGATACTCAGCAGTTTACATATATTTTTTTAACTCTCTCTCTCTGGAATAAATAAATATACATATTTATATTTGAATACAGGCAATGACGAAGGAACCCAATGAGAAATGGCTGGATCGCCATTTCGCCCAACAGCTGGAGGAATACGAGCCGGTCTTCCAACAGGAAGCCTCCGCATCGGATCAAGAGCTCATCACATATTGGCTACAGATCTTCCTAGCTGCGCCCAAGCCCCAAAAGTGGGCCAGAAACAGTTTGATGCTGCTGATGTACGGCCATTTGAAGGAGATTGGCTATCTGCAGGTGCCCTTTACGGACGTGAACAGCATGGGCAAGAATCTGAACAAAGTACTGGACGGATATACGGGTCTGCCTGTTGTGACTACGAATAGAACCCGTTCCACGCACGTCCTCACACCTATAGCCGGGGAGCAGACACCCTCTCAGACCGATGTGCAAACATCGTCTCCGTTCGAGACGGACCGATATACGGCACTGCCTAGTGTATCTACAAGTAGAACCTATTCCAAGCACGTGCTCACTCCTATACCCGAGGAGAAAACACCCTCTCCGCCTGAGACCGATGGGGAAACATCGACTCCGCCCGAGACGGACCGATATACGGCACTGCCTAGTGTA